ATGTTGAGGCTCTGTCCGCGCAAGGTAGAATGTGTCCTACGGGCTGCATAATTAATTAGCTCTCGCTCCATCAGGGCGCTTACGTAACCACAGTAGTATGGCGATTTTTTTTCGGATGAGTTCGGATTTGTGAGGTTGGCTGGTGATTGTTTCAGTGTGAGTGATATTTGTTAAGGTGGGTTGGGATTTGTTAGGTAAGTTGAGTTTGGACAGTGATAGTGGTCGTCTGAAATACAGAAAATGCCCAATCTTTAAGTTTCAACCCCAAATCCACGTGGTGTGTATCAGTTCCTCTTGAAGGATTGCAAGTTCTCTTTATTGTGTTTGCATTTGCATGTTCCACATTTATCTCGGATTGGAACAGGTGTTTAAATTATTCGATACGTTTCACATTGCCTTAAAGTATTAAAGAGAAGGAGGAAACAAGCTGGTCGCAATTTGATCTTAAAATAGGCCCCTATAATGTGTCACTTGAGGCATAAAAAATACGAAGATTCGAATGCTAAAATGACTTGATTCGAATATGCACCAAGACAGATTAGCTGTTTTAGTTAAGATGCTTGTGTTAGAGACAGATACGATTGTGACGTTCTCAGTCTGCGATAAGAGCCGCGGTGTTTTGTATTGTTATTTGGACTTTTTCAGATAAGAATATAATTACGATTTAAGTTAAAACGCTGAGTTAGCTCGGGGAAAATGTGTTGTTTCCCATGCTCTTCAAAACAAGTCCGTCACTCGAGATAATGGCTCACTTTTATATGCTATTTCCTTGCTCATTTGTGCTTGCTGCCGAGGTTCACATGGAATTTGGATCTTACAGAGTGATAAAAGCTTTGATGTTCTCGGGAATTTTGTAAAACGAGTAAAAGTAGGTTTGTGTGAAGGTTTTCTATACCTTGAATTAATTATTAATATTATTACTCATTATTATTATGGTCTTTTAAGGCTGTTCCCTTTTGGTTTCGCCTAATACATAACCTAATTTCCCAAATGTCAACAACGTCATATTTGCCTGTTTGGCTTCCTGAAATTACAGTTTCCCTCAAAATCATTCTATTCAAGCCATTTTATAGATTATGACGGGTATCAGTTAAGTCGATCAGTGATATGTGTTTATGGGATCCTCGGCGGGCCCTGCATGCGTTCCTGAAATCCCCCACTTGCTGTTCAGAATACACATACATTCAATAATATCACCTCCAGGCTGCACAGTGCAGCCAGGATTTATCCCATATTCACAAAATATCCTTTCAGTGGGTAGTCTGCAAAATAAAGCATTAGACGAAACTAGTTTCCATGTATTTTTTGTCGTCGAGTTCTTTTGCTTGTTCTTGATAAAGATCAGGATCTGGAAAAAACCAGTCTACCAGTTCTGAGCAACCTGCGCTCGACTGGTTATCGAAGCTCACGTCAACTACCGCGCATTGTGCGCTCGGCGCCAGCTATGTTAAAAAAGCGCATAAATCACCTAGCTCGGTACTTCGGGTTCGCAGCGACTAGTAGTATCAATGGCAACATTCACCATGAAGTTCTTCATGCCTCTGGCTAGCTTGCTGGCAGTAATGAGTAAGTTGATGCAGATTGTCTTCATGTATAGCGAAACCCCCGCAATAAGAACCACGAGGCTAGTTTTAGGCCTAGTTAGAACCTATAGGCATACTTCGAAAACACCGTTGCAGCTATACTATTATGGCTATCACTTCAGTAACCTGGTTTCATGAAGCCGTTCTTAGCTGAATGCATATTACTGATAGTTGCATTACGTGCTGGTTGTTGTAAGTGAAACCTTTATATAGGGCTATACATTTTGTGGGGCGTTGATAAGTCAATAGATCGAAGTATGCTAAAAGGTAAAACTTGAGGCTTATTTTGGGCCCTTTCTCAATTAACTGGCTAAGGCTAGGAGTATTACAGGCATCTGTGGTAAGTGGCTGCTCCATTGGCTGGCGAAAGTCAGATTACGTGTGAAGAATGTGCAGCCTTGGTAAAGTAACGATTAGGAATTAAAACAATGATTCATATTACACCCCCCAAAAAAACACAGCAAAACATATGAAGAACTTAGAACAAACACTTGAACATGCGTAGTATGATGACTTCTGTCTGAACTCATTTCAGCACCGACTCTTAGCCGAGTAATAATCGGCGGGCACGAGTCCACACCAAACAGCCGACCCTACCAGGTGGCCCTCTATGGTTCCAGAAGTGCCAGCTGGCAGTTTTGCGGTGGTACCCTTGTCCACAAACGATGGGTCGTATCAGCCGGCCACTGCAAGTTAGTACCACACACCAGTCAACCCCCCTGGATTTCGAGTGCAATCTGTCGTCATTCGATCACTTTCGCAAAAAGAGAACACTTAAATACCCTTCTGCGTCACACCTATAGTCGTCTTTATAGGAAGATGCTTGATCCGTTTTTGCGAAAGTAAATACGTCCACGAAAAGTGCACCAGGAGAATGGAATATGTCATGATTAAGCTATTCTAGGGATGAGGCATGGTTTGTTAATGAACGCCTTTACATCTACCTGAATTACACGACAGACAATTGTAAGGTGGAGCAAGGTAAAGTAAGTTGTAAATTTTGCGTTTGCTACAAGGTCACTTCAGAGACCATTTTGGTGCCAAAACTGCCACGCGCACGTCCGACTGGCATGTTTCAGGGGGCCTGTGTTTTTGAGCGTAAACAATCATCACCCAACTTCAATCCATTAGTGCGTCATTCGATGAGCAAGGTGTGTATCCTGCAGAATGCAATATTTGAGTGACATAATGGCATGATGTACCATGTTTGAACTGGCCCTGTAATACAAGGCAGACGTCAAGAGGCTGTCCAAAAACCACTTTATATTGTTTTTACCATTTGCCTATTGCTTTCCGCTGGTAAACAGGTCGGGCAGATATGTCTTCGTAGGTTTGGGCCTCCACGATAAGTACAACCACAGTGCAGCTGGCCAGCAGATAATCAAGGGTAAATGGCATCGTCATCGTGGCTACAGTGGCGGCACTCTTGATAACGACATCTCCTTGATCGAACTGAGCAAAGACGCCGACATTGGCAACGGTAAGATCGAAGCCATTGACATTACCAACAAACGACCTGCTAAAGGAACGAACCTGCTCGTGAGTGGATGGGGAACAACATCAAGTAAGTTTGCTTTTAATAATCAGCGAGTTACAGCGCATGCTTGGGTCATTCGAGATCATCAGATAAGCACGTGCAAGGTTTACCCTATTGGGGCAGCCATAAACCGTAAAGTGATTTCCTTTGTAGTTCACATTCGGGCGTGATCTATAGTTTGACCAGTGGTCAATGCTTCCAACAATGCACAGGCGCGTTAATACTCTATGACCCTAGTTGACCAACTTTTAAAAATCTCATCGTTACTTACATGGCACTTTGGCTGCGATTCTTACAGTTTACATGGTCACTGAAATCTTATACAATTATTTTCATGTGAATGGTTCTCTCCATAACGGTAAAATAAAATGGGTTGTTGATAACCAGCGGTGCGACATGCCCCGCGGCCTGGTCCCAAATGGTCGACTTCATAGTCCGAACCATCTATCGCATGGAGTTCTTAAGCGGACAGGCAAACGTCGAGTGTGTGAGTTCGAACGTCATGTTTGTGAGTTCAAACGTCGTGTTTGTGAGTGGTCAGGGCCAATTTCATGAAGCTGCTAAACACAGAACTTTGCTTAGCATAGTTTGTCTTGCTCAGGGAAAAATGATAAACGAACATCAGTTGAACACCAGTCACAAGCATTTGAACATTTTTATTGGTGATCCTGTTTTTAGCAAGGGAAAAAATCATGCTAATGATCCATGAAATTGGCCCTGACCACTCACAAATATGACATTCAAACTCACACATGCGACGTTTGCCTGTCAGCTTTATAACACCATACCATCGTTCAGGCGGAATAGTCGAACTATAGCCACCTAGTCGTCACTCGAATTAACCCTGGCTGACTCCGACGCAATGAGCACGTTCGAGCTGGCGTGACGTCAGCCGCATTCTCAAGCGCTTTTGACTCTTTGAAGTACTGGACTGGATCACTACCATTAATCCCCCATAAACTTCATTTGATAAGATTGCAACATGGCGAAAGCTGTGGGTGTCTCTTTGGTTTGTACCATTCAATTTCAATACATTGAATTTATGGCATGGATAAGAAAAGAAATCCCCCCAGTATTCTGTACCATGAACATCACCCCCATCTATTTTCATATGGCGTCAGCACAACTCCCGCTTTTCAAATTCCCGTGGCTGGGCAAGTCCCTCACAAACATTCCTGATTTCCCCATCCCCAATTTTCGGCACAAATTTACGCCACTGAACCAAACAGCACGGCAATACGGCTGGTTGGGCATTTTGATTGTTTGGCTCGTTTCGTTGGTTCTGAAGTTATTTGGCTGGTCAGTGATACAAGTTTGGTAGGTGATTGTCAATCCATAATATTCTCACTCTTTGTAAAGAGTGCTTATGGATGTGCATTGATTGATTGCACTGTAACAAAGTTGAGGTATTTCTTTCATTCGATTTACCGAGGTGGAGGGTCAAGTTCAAGAGTTCTGATGGAAGTGATGGTTAACGCAACCTCCATGCTGGCTTGCAGAAAGGCGTACGGATCCCCATCGATTACAGACAACATGTTTTGCGCAGCTGCGTCTGGAAAAGACTTCTGCCAGGTAAGTCATTTTTCCGCTGGTGCAGAGGGTGGCAGAGGGACGAGTGATGCCATGCAAAGGCCTAAATTGGTTCGTTGGGGATTCTAAAATGTTGAGAGCTCGGGCTAACCCCCTGTGGACAATCCCTTTTCTCAGATGTAGCTTTACATTTTCTCGTTCAGACGTGTTGATTTTTAGAGGAATGTTGCCGAGTTAGAGATGTTCCTTGTTTCCTTAAAATTTTTCAAACCGTCCTCACTGTCAATATAAAATGTCAATATAAAATAGGCAACCTTTTGTCTCTCCTTTCCAAGCTGATACTCGATATTGTAGACTTCATTCTAGTCGTGTTTGAGTGGTACGCTGTCACAAACTTGCTTCATTGATCAGGCTGATGGGTCACTGTTGACTGAACTTTAATCACGGTTTCCGACGGCTTGGTTTCCCCTTTTCTCACACTAGGGTGACGAAGGTGGCCCAATTGTCAGCGGCTACGGAGATGGCACCCACGACCCCGGCACCACTCTGGAGGGCATTGTCAGCTGGGGTTACGGCTGCGCTCATGCTAAATATCCGGGTGTTTTCACTACCGTCGGCAACTACTGTGACTGGATCGCAGAGACTTCTGGCGATGCCGTCAAGTGTTCTAGTTAGGGACCCGCCAGCAGCCGAGGTTTTATGCATGCCCCCGATTGATAAGACTGAGATTTAAGGGAAACACTGGTTTGGGTTCTCTCGGCAATCGACTACCGTCGTTAGCAAATAAAATTGTCAGAGTTGAAATAAGACATGGAAATGAGCTATCGTCAAGGCAATTATGAAACAAATACATAAAACGTACACTAAAGAAGTATACTTTACACGCTTAACTTAATACCTCACTGTTTGCCTACTTTTGCATACGTCTGGTTTCTTAAAAAACAACCGATATTAAACGGTGCTTCAAACTAATGAAACAATTCCAAAAAGCTTCATTAGAGGACCTTAATTTTTTCAAGTTGACGATCTTCAAATTGCCTCAATTAGACAAACCTTTATTGTTGCTTTAGTTTTGATTCTAATGAATAAAACAAGCAGAAAGCAAAAAAACAGACTAAAGACTGAAGTTGTCCCGATTCATCATTGATATTTCAGTCAGTTAAAATTATAAAGTTTCTGGGCGGCACGACGGCGTTTCAGATTTTTAACTCGGAGCAAAGGGGTAATTTTAAAAAGTAATGACTTGGTTGAGTAAGTTCGACTTATGTTCGGTTTTTATGCATGTCATTTTTTGCAATTGAGTTGGCCACAGATGTATAAGAGTTGCAGCTCATTCAGCTCTCGTATATATTGTACATGTTCTGTAGGCAGACTTTCTTGTAGGTATCCTGTTTATTAAAATTAAAGTATCATCAGTGGAGTAAATCTGTGCTGGAAATTTGGGGGGGGGATACAGAGAGGTTGGGGGAACTACTTGTCTGACTATGGAATTTGAAAGTAGGGGGGCACACCATATGCAATATATAGGGGAGGCGATGTTCATAATAAAGACGTACATCAGAAAATGTGTATCAACTTCATGCAGAATCTTACACTAAAAAGGCAAGTACGCTTTTAAGATTTGTTTTCCTTCTTTAGTGATATTGCAAACATTTTAGTCGTTGGAAAGCTGAAAAATTCTTCACATTTTGCTTTGATTTTTTTGGCTTATCAATAATGCGCTGCCGGTATGATTCAACAGTCCATCACCTCCACGTCAAACTTTAGGGCGAGTGATATATACCGCTAACCCATGAAGATTTAAGCCCATGAAAGTATATCCAATCTCATTCGGACCAAGCCAGTTTTGGGGTGTGGATTTAGTGGGGTGGGGTGAGCAGAGGTATTGTGGCTGGGAGGGATGGGGAGTTGTTGGTATTCGTTGGGAAGAGTAGGATTTGGTGGAATGAAATGGGGATTTGGTGGAATGGAATGGAAATAGGTAGAATGAGATAGGAATATGTCAGTGGGGTGGAGAGCCGTTGGATGGGTGGGGATTTGTTTGGGCGGTTGAGTTTGGACAGTGATAGGGATTGACTGAAATATAAAGAAATGTCGTGCAATCCCTTAAACACAGCTACTCAGGGTATGTGCCAATTTGTCTTGAAATTAGAGCTCAAGGATTACGCATTGTCGCTATACTATGTTTGCATTTGCATGTTCCGCATGTATCTTGGATTGGTATAAATATTTAGAAATTCAAAACGATTGATAATTGCCTTAAAGATTTGGAGGGTAGGGGGAAAAGAAACGTCACAATTTAATCAAGAATGGGTCCCTATACAGCGTCACTATGGAGACAGAGAAAAATTAAAGATTCGCAAGTTTGGTCAAATGACTTGTTTCGCACTTATAAAGGTAGAGAATCAATCCAAGGCAGCTTGGCTGTTCTAGTTCAGATGTTTATGAAAGAAAAAGATACAATGTGTTTTTGGTCTTCTGTAAGAGTCCCTTACAAACACGTTGTATTCTGGATTAATACGGTAACAACTTCTAAATGGTTCACAGTGTTTTGTGGTTTTTTTTCAGATAAGACTAACAATTAAATTAAAAAGCTGAGTTAGCTGGGGAAAAAGTGTTGTTTCCCATGCTCTAGAAAACAAGTCATTCATTTGCCGTAAACACTTGAGATAATGGCTCAGTTTTTTATTTTCTGTAGTGGTAATTTTTTGTTCACCTGTGCTCGCTCCCTTAAGTTCACATGGAGTTTGGATCTTACCGATTGATAAGGCTTTGATGTTTTTACCGGAAATGTTGCAAAATACACAGAAGTAGGTCTTTGTGAAAGTTTTTAACACCATGAATTTATGATATATTTCTGGCACTTACGTTTTGATTATATCTAAATACATAACCCATGTCCCTAAATGTTCCAAATGTTATGTCCAGCTAGCCCCGTTTTTCCTTTGAATCGTTCCAATTAAGCTACTTGAACGTCAGGATTGTGGATTATGACGAGTGTCAGGTCGATCCTTAATTTTGTGTTGATGGGACCCTCAAAGAGCCCTACGTGTGTTCACGAAATTTACCACTTGCTATTTAGAATACATTAACATTTGATTAAAATATTTGCTTTAACTTGAGTTCCTGTCTTGCATCAGAAATATCACCTTAAAGCGGCACAATGCAGCCAGGATCTGTCCCATATCAGCGAACTTTTTTTCACGGAGATTGTGTGCAAAGTTGACAAAAAGCGGTTTGTTTCGATAACATCTTATTGTTGAGTTCGTTTTCTTGCTTCCCTCACCATAAAGCTAAACAAGAGCTGGAATTAAAGTTGTCTTTTTTCAGACCAATCCCCACTCGACTGGTTATCGACACTTACGTCAACTGCCACGTATTGTGCGTACTGCCATGTACGCTATAAGAACCCCAAAAGGCCCAGCTCTGTCTCGCAGCAGAGACAAGCACTATCAACGGCAACATTCACCATGAAGTTCTTCATCCCTCTGGCTTGCCTGCTGGCAGTACTGAGTAAGTTGGTGCAGATACAAACCATTCCATAGGAACTGTTTGGCCGGTATTGCTTCGGTGGTAGATATATGTTTTAATCTCTACCTTCTCTGTCTAGCCTAATTTCATAAAGCTGATGTAATCATATGCATATGGAGAAATACTACCGATACTTGCATTAAGTTCAAGTGGATACAAATGAAAACTGTATAAACATGAATTGTGTACCCGCACATTGAGCGTGGATGAGTCAATCAAAACACGCTGAAAATGGAAGCATACAAAAATTGAGACTTACTTTGATCATGTTCGGATTAACTGGCTACAGCTAATATTAAAGGTGTCTATGGTAAATGGCTAAAGTCAATAGATAGTGGCTTCCATAGCCAAACGTTAGCTTACGTCTTACGAGTATTTCAGCTACAGAAGGTAACCATAAAAAAATTAATAAATGTTTCTCTAGCATTCCCACCAAATCAAGCACAAGAAAACCAAAACAAATTCTCAAAAAAAAGTTTATCGCAGTTTTGCCTAATTTTAAATCATATTTCAGTGCCAGCTTATGCCATATACGGTGGGGAAGAGTCCGTGCCAAACAGCCGACCCTATCAGGCGGCTCTGATCAGCCCGTGGGGCCGCGGGTCCGTGGCTTGCGGTGGTGCCCTTGTCCACAAACGATGGGTCGTTTCAGCCGCTAAATGCGCGTAAGTATGACGCTTTAGTCCGTTTATCCCCAGGCTCATGTCTAGATATCTCATGTTAAATCATTCGGTCGAATTTCCGTCGGCCTTTCTGTAGCAAGACGTTTGATATGTCTTCGCGAAGGAAGAGATGCCGTTCAAACATTGTACCAGCAAAATGGTATTTGTGACTACGACAGAAACGTATTACATGTACTTCGATAAGCTCTTTCAGGGATTAGGACATGGTTAGTTAATCCTCTGCATCCACCTGCCTGAGTGCTCGTTAGGCCATTGTACGGCAAAGCCAGCCGTAGGGATTTTTGCGACTGGTTCAACGTTGAGATAAATTTTTGGGTCCACCATCCTTTACAAGCACCTAGCTGAATTGCCATATAATAGGGCTTACATTTTTTTTCATAAAAGCATCACCAAATGAGACATTTTCCGATCAAATTGTGAAACCCTACATAAAACCCACTGTTTGAGCGACAAAATGGAACCATATGTATCAACTTCATGTCGCTGATCTAAATGGTTCCGTCGCAAAGAAAACGTCAAGCAGCTGCCCCAAACCCATCTGATATTTTGTTCTCCCGGTTTCTATCTTACAATTTCCCTGTTGCTTTTCGTTGGTAAACAAGGTTAGGTAACGTTATCATCATAGGTTTGGGATACCACCATACGTCATACCATGGTTTGCCCGGTCAGCAGTACATCTGGAGTGATTGGTATCCCCATCCAAAATACAACAGCTACACCAACGATAACGACATTGCCTTGATCAGACTCGGTGAGGATGCCGACCTCAGCAGCCCCAAAATTGCAACCATTAGCATCAGTAACTCACGGCCTTCTCCGGGGACGAATCTGCTCGTGAGCGGTTGGGGAGCACTCGATTGTAAGTCTACCTTTAATGAGCGAGTTTGGTATTGTGAAACGCAGGCTTCAAATGAAGCGAAAAATTAATACGCATGCAGGAAGTTGATCTTTCAACCTCTGCCTACGCGAATTGAACAAGATCGAACACTGTGATGTCAGATACGTTGCTGATGACAGAACCTTCTATTCCAAAATACTCTCACTGACGTTATACCCTTGGTTCGTTCCATTTAATTTCAATAAATTTTTGCAGCTTCATTCCCGGTGGTTAGACTTTTTCCCCGCCAACCATTTAGTGTTACCTCTCTCAAATTTGTGAATCAGACTTCTTTAAGACTTCCGGTCAATAAAACATTACTGTCATTAGTCCAGAAGTCAATCTGAACCAACCAACCAATCAAAGGCGATGGCAATGTGGCTGGTTGCGGGTCATCTTTAATAGTGGCTCGCTGATTGGTTCTGTACTAGTTTGGCTGATTGGTTACTTTGGCTGGGTAGGGGATTCCAATCCATGGATTTGTATGGATGTGCATGGATCAGCTTGCTTGTAATAAAGTTTGAATGCTTATTTCATTTAATCATTTAGATAATGTAGGAGCGCCAGGTACTCTGAGGGAAGCAGATGTTAAAGTACAGTTTATGGATGACTGCAGAAAGGCCCATGGATCCTCACCTCTCACAGACAACATGTTTTGCGCCTACAATCCTGACAAAAATATCTGCTATGTACGTAAGTCATTATTTTTCCGTTAATACAAGGGACGGTACAGTGATATCACGGCCTACATTTATGGTAGCCGCAGGCCTTGCACTGAGGAGCAGGGAGGCGGGTCTAAGAATGTTACGCCCTGTTTTGGGGTGTACCGTGGTGCAATCTCTCCCTGAAGAGCTTGTTATATCCGTTATCTTACTCAAAATTTATGATATAAAATCTGACGAAGGCAGCCCTATGTATTTCCTCCCATTGCTGATACATGTCAGTGTAGATCTACTTATGTCAGGCAAGACTTCTGGTTGACATTCTCAATTTTGGACTCAACTATGTGTCCGTCAAATTTTGGCAGGGGGCCGCCATCTTTTCCTTAAAAATCTTGGTCTTTGACGCTTGGATTATTGTTGGTAAGGCTTTGAACATAGCTTTATAAACGGTTTGATTTCCCCCTTTCCCGCATGCTAGTCTGACACCGGTGACCCTATTGTCAGCGGCTACGGTGATGGCACCCACAACCCCGGCACCACCCTGGAGGGCGTTGCCAGCTGGGGTTGGAGCTGCAGTATTCAAAACCACCCCGGTGTCTACACCATCATCGCCAACTACTGTGACTGGCTGTCTCAGACTTCCGGAGGTGACGTCCAGTGTTAGAAAGGAATCCGCCGGTGGCCTAGGGATGGACACGGCACTGAATGGAAGAGGTATTGGATACACGACCTCTCAGCATTCGACAACCAATTTTATCTAACTGAACTGAGATTAAGCAAAATATCAAAATGAATTATCGTACTCGCCGAGGCATTTTGTAATCTAGCGAATGAAACATGCATTAAACAAGCAAACCTTACACAATTAAAAGCCAGCTGTTTTCCTCTTTGTCTACTTCGAGTTTGGGAAAGGGGCGTCTCAAATTTATATAAACAATTAAAAGCTGAATTACAGGACTTCTCTGATTTTTCTTCCGATTATTATACGCAAAAACTTCAGCTGAGGTCTCTCTCCTGCCTTCAAAGTATCTTACTTGAGCTGTTGCTAGCATGACTTCACATAATTGAATCTTACGGACCAGAACCCAGCCTTTAATTGAATTTTAAGTTAAAGATTTGATTTGAATAAATTTAACGATCAGACAGTACATTAAAATACTGAAATTGTCTTCATTAATTGATACCGCAGTCATTACAAGACTATCCTTTCTCACAGAGTCCCAAATTCTCATCATCATCGCAGACATGGACAGACACTATTCAGATACGCAATTTCATGCCCTGGGGAAAATCAGAGGCAATATTGGTGTAGCCTTTCGAGGCTCTGGTAAGCTCTTCACCGTTACTATATGAGCCCCAAGCTTGACCACCAGAGGGCGCAATTTACCAGAAACTGAACACTCCCTACTATATGGCTCTTGTCAACCAGTGAGGGGGTGCTTGTTCTCGAAGCGAATTCAAGACCCTCAGATGCTCTAATTTTTTCCAGGAGACATCTCAGAATGTCTTGTAAGAGATCCCTTCCAAGGAGATCAGTCCCACGAGCCTGAAGGCGAAGTACCGTACCTGGGAAGACGAGTTACTCCCAGAGAAGCTTTGCCATTTGGTTTTCATTTGTAAAGGAAACGATTTTTACGAAATTGAAAGCGCCAGCATTTTTGAAACGGTTAGCGAGTGACAGGGTGTTCTTCTACAGAGTTGATTTGCTAAACACCAACCCAATACTGAATACACCACTGGGATCCATGAGTTGGATTGGGTGAACAGCCAACTGACTGCTTTTGAGTAGAGAACGAGCTTCAAATGCTTTTGGGGGAATGAATGAGAATACTTATCGTGCCCATTAGAGTGCTGTTTAACTTTACCGCTCAGTGAAGCTTTTTTCGCCACGAATGCAGAGTACAACATTGTTGAAAAGGCATTTTACTTCGAGGTAAATTTTTACTTTTAACTCGGTGAGGGACTGGAATGGAGGAGTAATGCGTGTGCGTCTATGGCGTGTCTGCCTATTAATACCTCTGCTGACAGTGTATGTGTATATTGTCACTGGTATGTGCATAGTGCATTAAGTAGCCACTGAAGCGTAAGGTAGAATGCGCTAAACGGTGCACTGTCAATTTCAAGGGAAATTCTCCGCCAGGACGAGGCGCTCAAAAAGCACCTCTACAGTTTGTTTTAAAAGGGGAGATTGTGTGGCCTAAGAAATTGTGGAATTGTGTTAGAAGGGCTCAGAATGAGCTCCCTAGATTCAAGGGCTGCCATCCCAGGGCAAAGTATAGAAAAATTGCAAAATTGTCCCAAGAGCTTGATGGATGTCACTTGAGAAATGGCTGCTAACAGACTTAACTTGAGAACGTTCATTTTTGAGGGGGTGAGTTTGCTTTTGGTGGCTAATTTAAAATTTCATTGGTTACACTACTAAAAATTGAAAATCAATTGAAACCTGAATGAACCCCAAACACATTGTTTTTTGTTTGAGAAGCGTGAGGGGCTTCGGTTGCCTGCACTTGGGCTGCAAACATGGTTGAGTTGAATTAGTGAACCCCTAAAGTCGGGCTGATTCAATTTTCGTTCGGTAGCGTTAACAGATGGTCATTCCATATAAACCCACTTTTTAGAGTGGTGGCCGGATGTTTTGAATTCCGAAATTGGGATAACCAAAGACCCCTGCTTTTTAGTCACCAATACTTACATGTGAGTATTCTCTTCTTGAACGAGCAAACTATTTCTAGCCTGACCTAGCCCAACCGTTGGGTAGGGATCTGTTGTTGCGGGGTGGGGTGGATTAGCGTAGGAAGTGGTGCATGGGGTAGAGCTGGGCTAGATAGGATTTGGTGGAATGGTTCGTGGATGGGATTTAGTTGGATGTGACGGACATTTTGTGGAATGTAATAGAAATGAAATCAGATAAGGTCAGATGGAAATTTGTTTTGGGCTGGGATTTTTGGGATGAGTTGTTAAAAAAAATTTGATGGTATTTACATGAACATACTGTATACGTGTTCTTTAATACAAGACCTTTTTTGTGGGTCTTGTGCCCTTTTAAATTAAAGTATCTATTCCAATTAGGGTCCAGCCTAACATTTTGGCGTAAATTTGGGCGTTGGAATTGGTTGAAACTGGGCGTACTTGGGATTTGTAGGTATGTTTTTGGGTAGTTGAATGGAGGTTTGGTGGAATGGAATAAAAAAAAGATAGAATAAGGTAGGAATTTGTAAGTGTTGGTTGGAGATTTGATGGGCGGGTGGAGATCTAATAGGGTGGTTGGGGGCTGGGTGAGAATTGGTGAGAGTGGGTTCGGATTTGAAAGTCTGGGTGGGGATTTGGTAGGGTGGGTTTGGAGTTGTTAGGGTGGGTAAGTTTGGACAGTGATGGTGGTTGACTGAAATATAGAAAAATGCGGAATTTGCAGTCCCAACTCCGCATGGTGTATGTGTGTGTGTCAGTTGGTCTTGAAAATCGAGCTCAGGGATTGTGTATTGTTACTACTCAGATGTTTGTGTTAGATTAAGATACGATTGTGTTCTTGGTCTTCTGGAAAAGCCGCTGACAAATATGTTGCAACCTAGATGAATACGGTAATAAGTTCTAAGTGGGTCACAGTGTTTTGTGTGTGTTTTAAGATAAGAATTAAAATTAAAGATTTCAGTTAAAATGCTGGGCTAGCTCCTAAAAAGATGTTGTTTCCCATGCTCTTCAAAACAAGTCCTTCACTTTGCGTAAACACTCGAGATAATGACGCAGTTTTATATTTTCTCGAATGGTATTTCTTTTTTCACCTGTGCTTGCTGCCTAGGTTCACATGGAATTTGGATCTAACCGAGTGATAAAGACTTTGATGCTTGTACCACAAATGTTGCAAAACACACAAAAGTGGTTCAATGTGAAAGATTTTAAACGCCATAAATTTATGGCACTTACATTTTGGTTTTTTCTAAATTCATAACCCATGTCCCCAAACGCTCCAAATGTTATATCCCATTTGCCCGTTTTGTTTCCTTCCAATTTATATTAAAGGCAGGATTGTGAATAATGACGGGTATTAAGTCGATCCTTAATTTTGTGTTGATGGGACCCTCAAAGAGCCCTATCTGTGTTCACGAAATTCACCACTTGCTTATTTGATTAGTTTCTTTACTAAAGTTCCTATCTTGCATCAAAAATATCACCTCAACTGGAGTAAAATTCTCTCAGTGCTTTTCCTGGTCCTTGCCCAAAATAAAACCAGTGAATAATAAAATTCTACATCATCGGTGTTATTTTTAACATTAGAGTTTTTGCAGTGTGGGCACTTTGCGTTTGTGTCTCGAAGCAGTGACTTGTAGGCTCAACGGCAACATTCACCATGAAGTTCTTCATTCCTTTGGCTTGCCTGCTGGCAGTACTGAGTAAGTTGGTGCAGATACAAACCATGCCATAGGAACCGTTTGGCCGGTTATGCTTAGAAAATTCAGTGATAGATATGTTTTAATCTCTACTTTCTTTGTCTAGCCTAATTTTATAAAGCTGATGTAATCATATGCATATGGAGAAATATTACTGACACTTGCATTAAGTTCAAGTGGATAGAAATGAAAACTGTATAATCATGGATTGTGTACCACATTGAGCGTAGATGAGTCAATCGAAACATGCTGAAAATGGAAGCATGCAAAAATTGAGGCTTACTTTGATCCTGTTCGGATTAACTGGCTACAGCTAAGAGTATTACGTGTGTCAATGGTAAACGGCTACAGTCACTGGATGGATGCTTCCATAGCTGAACGTTAGATTACGTGTTCTGCTCCTGAAAGTATAAACAAAAATAATAATTTTTCTTCAGCCTTGCCGCCTAAACAAACAACAAAACATAAGAACGCCCTCAAAAGAAAAGGCAGATTGCAGTTTTGCCTACTTTTAAATCATATTTCAGTGCCAGCATTCGCCATTTCCGGTGCAGAAGAGTGCGTACCAAACAGCCGACCCTCTGATCAGCCCGTGGGGCCGCGGGTCCGTGGCTTGCGGTGGTGCCCTTGTCCACAAACGATGGGTGGTTTCAGCCGGACTGGATTTTTGGCACTATAAATTGAATAAAACAAGTATTAAACCATTACTATCCGGGCACAGCCAAACCCTTGGGTAGGGATCTGGTGTTGTGGGGTTGGGTGGGTTAGCGTAGGAAGTAATGGATGGGGTGTGGCTGGGCAGGAGATAATTTGGTGGGATGGTCAGGGATGGGATTTGGTGGGATGTAATGGACGTTTAGTTGAATATAATAGATATGAAATCATATAAGGTCAGATGGGAATTTGTCAGTGGGACGGTGGGGCTTTTGGGGGTGAGTGCATTAGATTTTTGATTGTTTATACATGAACATGTACATGAACACACTACTATTGGCAGACTTTCTATTAGTTCTTCTGGCCTCTAAAATTAAAGTATCAATGTCATTCGTGTCCAGCCCAACAGGGCTGCATTTGGTGGGGTTGAGCTGGAATGGGTGCTGGACTGGGTTGAGGCTGGGTGGAGTGGGGATTTGTTGGTATGTTTTGGGATGATTGAGTGGGAATGGCGATTTGGTGGAATGGAGCGGGAAATAGATAGAATAAGGTAGAAATTTGTTAGTGTGGGGTGGAGTTTTGATGGGCGGGTGGAGATTCATTAGGGTGGTTAGGGATTTGTTAGTATGGGTGAGAATTAGGTAGGGAAGGTTGGGATTTCAAAGTGGGGTGGGGGTTGGTTAGGGTAGGTAAGTTTGGACAGTGATGGTGGTTGACTGAAATAGAGAAAAAGCGCAATCCTTCAAGTTATAACCCCAACTCCCATGGTGTGTCTCAATTCATCTTGAAAATCGAGCTCAAAGATTGTGCAGTATCACTTCTGTGTTTGCATTTGCGTCGGCCAATTTACCTCTTATTGAAACAAAAGTTTAGATACTGGAAACGTTTCAGATTGCCATAAACTTGGGATAGTGGGAGGACAGAAACTGGTGGAAATTTCGTCACAAAAAATAGGTTCCTTTAATATGTCACTGAAGACAAGAGGAAACAAGACAGAGAAAATGCAAAGTTTTGCATGTTGGTCAAATGACTTGATTTTCATATATAAACGTAGAGCAGCGTACCAAGACAGCTTGGCTGCTCTAGTTTAGGTGTTTGTGTGAGAGAAAGAAACGATTGTGTTCTTAGACTGCTGCAAGAGCGGCTAAAAATATGTTGTAACCTGGATTAAGAAAGTAATACCTTCCAAGCAGGTCACAGTTTTTTCGTGTATTTTTTTTACAGATAAGAATTACAATAAAGATTTCAGTTAAAAACCTGAGTTAGCTTGGGAAAAGGGTGTTGTTTCCCATGTTCTTCAAAACAAGTCCGTCATTTGGCGTAAACACTCGAGATAATGGCCCAGTTTTGTATCTTTCGGAGAGGTTTTCTTTGTTCATCTGTGCTTGTAGTCTATGTTCACATGGAATTTGGATCTTACCGAGTGATACAGGCTTTGATGTTTGTACCACAAATGTTGTGAAATACGTACATGTGTGACGGCCTTTTTACGCGTTGAAGTTATTAAATACTTCAAGCTCTTACCTTTTGGTCTCGCTTAAATATATAATCAAATCCCCCGAACGTTGCAAATGTTATATTCCATTTACCCGTTTGGCTTACTGAAATTACCTAGTTTCTTTCCAATTATGTCAATTATTATTAGTTAGCAATAGTGTTTAAATAATCCTCAGAGGGCTCAGCAGGAGTTTATAAAATCCTCCACTTGCTTTTGAGAACACATACACATTTATACTTGTAACGAGAGTTCCCATCTCACACCAGAAAATATCATCTCAAAACGGCACCATGCGGCCAGGATCTGTCCCACATTAAAGAAATTTTCTTTCAAGGAGAGTGGTCTGCAAAGATATAATATATACCAGACCGTCAAAAAAATGGTTTTGCTATTGCTTTCTCGTCTTTTTGTTGTTTACTTTACTGTACTTTACTTTACTTTATAAAGATAAACAAGAACTGTAATACATGTCACCTGATGGGATTCTTTTCTCTGACCTATCTGCGCTTAACTGATTATCGATACTTATACGTCAATAGTATTGTGTGCTCGCTCCAAGCTATTAAAAAGTACTGAAATCCTCCAGCTCGGCACTTTGTGTTTGTGTCTCGAGACAGCGACTAGTTAAATCAACGAAAACATTCACCATGAAGTTCTTCATTCGTCTGGCTTGCCTCGTGGCAGTACTGAGTAAGTTCATAGAGACTGTGTTCAAGTATTGGGCATACCGTGCGATAGGAACAACATGGCTAGTTATGCTAAGAAACTACCGCTGCGAATATGTTATCAAAGCTATATTTTCTTTCTGGCCCAACTTTAAAAAAAAGGGATGCACGGCGAACTATTATGGATACTGTGGAAAAAGGTTCTAGTGGTTATAAGTGAGAACTGTGCATGTGTGAATAAGCCTTGATGTTAGCATGGATGGGTCAATGGAAGCATGCTATGAGGTGATAATAGACCGTATTCGCGGCGTCCCGAATTTCAGTCGTACTCCCCAACGTAGTGTATTTATTTGAAAACGTTAAATTCAAAGAACCAGACTATATTCTACGATTTCATTCCGACCCCCAAAATCACCTGGTACCATCTCATTACGGGTATCAAATTGATACTGTACATTCAGGAATACGACTGAAATTTGGGACGCCGCGAGTACGGTCTATTGGGGCTTACTTGGATCCCGTCCAAATTAACAGACTACGGCTAGGAATATTATTTGCGTCTATGGAAATTAACTACAGTCACTAGCTGGCGACTTGGACCATGGTTGAATGTAGATTACGTGTAAAAGTGCTACATCTTTAAAAAGTAATCATCTGCAAAAATTAATGGTTTCTTTTCATTCTTCTCGCCCTCCCAAAATAACAAAAACACAAAGAAGATAAAAGAAAAGAAACTTCTAAATATGACTTCCTTTTATCTTATTTCAGCGCCAGCTCTCGGTAGACGGATTGTCGGCGGGTCAGAGTCCGTACCGCACAGCCGACCATACCAGGTGGCTCTCTACACTGACCCCAGTGGTAGCTACCAGTATTGCGGCGGTACACTAGTCCACCAACGATGGGTCGTTTCAGCTGGCCACTGCAGGTTAGTACCACACACCAGTCATCCCCCCTGGATTTCGAGTGCAATCCGTTATCATTCGATCACTTTCGCATAAAAGGAGAACACATAACTACCTTTCTGCGTCAGACCTGTAGGCCTAGGCATCTTTATAGGAAGATGCTTGATACGTTTTCGAGAAAGTAAAAATGCCCGCGAAAAGTGCACCAGCAAAGTGGCAAATGTCACAGACAAACCTGGCAAACACTTTGATAACCTATTTCAAGGGATGAAATGAGGCATGGTTTGTTAATCAACCCTTATTTGTCCGGCAGTATTACACAGCAGGCTATTTCAAGGTAAAGCAAGACTAGAAATCGTAAATGTGGATTTCACGACAACTTCAATTAGGCCTAGCTAGACCATTAAAAAACTGGCACGCGAACATCCGACATGCATGTGTCACGGGGCCTACTGTTTTAGCCCCTCCCCCCAAAAAATTCATCGACCATTTTGAATCAGTCAGTGTGTCATTTTTCTTATCACGCCGTGTAACCCAATGCAAATCAACTACATGAGCAACAAATGGCACGTTGTACATGTACCATGTTTCATGTGACCCTGTTACAATGCAAATGCCAAGAGGCTGCCCAAACCCACCAGATACTGTGTTTTCCAGGTGTTCCATTTAACGATTTGCCTATTGCTTTCCGTTGGTAAACAGGATGCGACCACATACCTACGTAGGTTTGGGATACCACGATAAGTACAACCACAGCGTGGCGGGTCAGCAGTTACTCAAGGGTAGATGGTTTCGCCATCCCAATTTCCACAGTGGCACCTTTGATAATGACATCGCCTTGATCAAACTGGGCAAAAATGCCGACCTCAGCAGCTCGAAGATCGCAACCATTGCAATCGCCAACAAACAGCCTGCTGCACAGACTAAACTGCTCGTGAGCGGATGGGGAACCATATCACGTAAGGCTGCTTTTAATGAGTGAGCTCTGCACAGCAGGCATACAGCATTCTTGGAGCAAATGAAATCCTCATTGCGAGCGTGCTTATTTCAGGCTCTCATGAGCGACTCGCAGTGAATACGTTCGAGCTGGTATGAATTCAGGGCCGTTAATTCGAATGACCTTGCCTTTTTGAAATAACGAACTGGCTCTCACCCTTAACACGTATTGAATAAGATCGCAGTGAATGGGAAATCCTTGGATGTCTCCTGGCTATGTGTACAACGTCGTCACCCGAAGTTGAAACTTTGGCATGTTATCATAACCGTCAAAACTCGGCAAGACCCTTTGTAGTCCACAAGCCAAATTCAACTGACCAATAAACCAACCAAACAACACGGGAATTTTGCAGGTTGGGTATTTTAATTGGATGGTACATTATGTGGGACTGAGGTAATTTGGTTGGTCAGTTATTCGAGTTGAGTATGTGGTATTCAATCCTGGGTGCTTTCACGGTGTGTGAATGGCGTTTCTGGATGTGTATTGATCGGCTGCATTCTAAAAGAGTTGAAATACAGTTTTTTTATTCTATTTATTTTAGTGGGAGGGTCAAGCTCAGATGCACTGAGGGAAGTGGTGGTTAAAGTTCAGACCCTGACCCACTGCAGAAAGGCCCATGATCCTGTAATTGTCACAGACAACATGTTTTGTGCAGCTGCAAAAGGAAAAGACTCCTGCCAGGTAGGCAATTACTCTGCAGAGGTCTGCGGAGGGGGTGGTAGAGGGACGAGTGATGCCATGCACATGCCCACAATGGGTGGGGTGGGGGTTCTACAATGATGGCAGTTTGTTCTACCGCTCTTTGGACAATACCTTTATCGAGTACACAGCTTTAGGAAGAACCACTGCCTGGTCTTAGAGCTCAGTGTTTTTAAGCTTACCTACCCAAGTCGTCGCCCTAGTCAATATAAAATGTGTTGATGACAACCATTTGTCTTTCTTTCTCTGATACTTGATATTGTAAACTTAATTCTGCCTGCCACAACTAAGTGATTGACTGGCCAACAAATCGACCACACTGTATATGTGTGTCAACTTTGAGCAGGCTGCCATCATCTCTTTCCCACATTACTTGTTTCAGCCTGGTTTGAAGCTGATGGTTCTCTGTGGGTCAAATGTTTATCATGGTTTTCCCATGGTTTGGTTTCCCCACACTAGGGTGACGACGGTGGCCCAATTGTCAGCGGCTACGGAGATGGCACCCACGACCCCGGCACCACCCTGGAGGGTATTACCAGCTGGGGTAACGGCTGCGCTATTTCTAGATATCCCAGCGTTTACATTGCCGTCGGCAACTACTGTGACTGGATCAAGACAGTTACTAATAATGCTGTCCAGTGTGCAAGTTAGAGAGGGATCCGATTGATGGACTCGCCGCTGATTGCAACGACTGAGATCTTAAGGGAACTCTGATGCGTGAGCTCTCGGCATTTGACTACCGTCTTAAACAAATGGAACGGAAAGAGTTTACTTAAGACATCAAAATACAATGTAAACTTTCGCCAATGCAGTTTGAAACAAATCATTAAAACGTATAGAATGAAGAAGTGAATTGTACACAGTTAACTACAAGTTATCTGTCACCTTTCAAGACTTGCGGTTTCTTTGAAAAACAACTGATATAAAAGGGTGCTCAAAATCAATGTAATTATACAAAAAAGCTGAACTGCGGGACCTTTTGATTTCTCTTCCGACTGCTTTTATCAAAACAAAACATAGCTGAAGTCTCCGGTCTCCAAAGTGTCTAAATACTTGGATAACGACTTCACAAGATTGAATCTTACAAACCAGGATCCAAGCCTTAGTGCATGCTGAATTAAATTTTTGATTTGAATAAACTATTAAAACTAACACAAAGCATAAAAAAGACTGAAGTGGTCCTAATTATTGATATCGCAGTTATGTTCCTCCCCACTCAGATCCAAGCTACATTCTAGTGGACTCAAACTAGTCAGATATGCAATATTGTATTCGCGAATGGGTCACGACTCGTGACCCGAAGGAGTTTTGGAACAGTTTCTTTCAAAGAAATCAGGCACTGGCCAGGTCAGGGCACTCTCATCCCCTTCACTCCATAGACGAATCCAGTGACGTTTCACTGGACGGGCCTAATGGACCCTTGAATAGTAGTATGTATTGTGTTGGGCCTTGTAGGGAGTGAATATCAGGGAATAGTGGCTTCCTGTAATAGCAGTCACAATCCTGACCGCCATTAAAGGGGGCCACCGTAAATAACCAGTGATGATATGGCATTCCTATGGTCAGTGGAATTATCTATACAAGGTACTCAACCTGTAACGTACCCCCTCCCTGAAGGATCCGTTCTTTGGGCGAAGCTTGGTATCGGGATTAGACAAGTTACCCACGGACATTTTGCCGATTTGTTATTGGTTTTGTTTTTTAATTTATTTATTTTAATCATTCCGAGGATTGAAAGTGTCAGCATTTTAGAAACAGCGAGCGAGTGACAGAGTAATCCACCGGGTTGTTTCCCTAACCACCCACCCAATACTGAATACACCACTGTGATCCATGAGTTGGATTAGGGTTAACAGCCAAGTGAATGGTTTGAAAGAGAACAGGTTGATGAATCGAAGACTAAAATCTTTATATGCTTCTCTGGGGATGAAAGAAAATATTTATTGTGTCATGGGCACGACTCAGCTGCTGTAACTTTCCTGCTCGATTACTTTTTTCAAGGTAAATTTACAGTTACGCTTGGACGTCGGAAATTGTTCTCCTTAAAAGCGCAAGAGCACCTGTTGTGCCTGTTCGTCTGCAGATTGACCCTACCTGGGCACTGTCCACTCACTCAGAAAACCCGGCTGTCCATGGTTTTTTTAGCACTATAAATGACAAGATTTTCAATTTGACCGTTGAAAAGGCCGCTGTGTTCTTCTCGTTTTTTCTCAAATCAGTTAATTCAAACATGAAACATGTCAGTGGATGATTCTGCAATTTCTTTTTCCATTAAATCAGCCAATCTTGTGACATCACGGCAAAAAAAATGATGTAACCTCCCTTTCATGACGATGTAATTAAACCTCAAGGTGAAAGTTTGGATCAAATTACACCAACATTTACAGTGATGTGTACAGTGTGTAAGAGTATATGACACTTTGTCACATCTTAGTCTTCTGTTGTTGTGTGGCAGGTTAGCGCAGGAATTAGTGGATAGGGATTGTGACAGGATAGGATTTGGTGGGAAGGGCGATCACTGATAGGATTTGGTGGAATGGAATGGGAATCTGAGGAACGGAATGAGATCGGTAGTGTGAGGTTGGAATTTTTTAGTGTGGGGGAGTAGATTGGGAATAAGGATGGGAGTGTGGCTGAGTGGGGAAGGGCTTTGGTGGAATGTAATGGACATTTGATGGAATATGATGGCAAAGGAATTTAATAAGGTCAGATGGGACCACGCGTGCTCTGTATTCAGCTTGTCTTGTACGTCTTCCGCCCTCTAGAATTAAAGTATCCAATCCCATTCGGGCACAGTCCAAGATTTGAGCGTGGATTTAGTGGGGTGGGGTAAGGAGAGGTTGCATTATGGCTGGGAGGAGTGCGGATCTGTTGGTATGGGTTGGGATAATTGAGTGGGATAATTGGGATAATTAAGATAATAAAGATTCGTATGTTTTGTGAAATGACTTGAGCTGATTCGCTTATTGTAAACTTACAGCAGCAACTCAAAATGGTTTATCTGCTCTCGTTCAAATGTTTGTGTTATAGTAAGATACGATCGCCTTCTTGGTCTGCTGAAAGAGCCGCTTACAAGTATGCTGGATCCTGTATTTATACAGCAATAGCCCCCAATTGGGTAACAGTGTCTTGTGTTTTTTTGTGATTTTTTTCAGAAATGATTACAATAAAATATTTCATTTAAAACTGGAGTAGTTCGGGAAAAGGTGTTGTTTCTCATGCTCTTCAAAACAATGAAGTCCTTCATTTGCCCTAAACACTTGAGATAAAGGTTCAGTTTTATGTTTCCGAGTGGTATTTCTTTGTTCCTCAGCTGTTCTTGTTGCCCTAGGTTCACATGGAATTTGGATCTTACCGATTAATAACGGCTTTGATGTTTGTAACACGAAAGTTGTGAAATTCAAAAAAGCAGGTTTCTGTGAAAGCTTTTACGCCTTGCATTAATTATAATCCAAGCCTCTTCCTTAAATTTTGTTTTGACTGAATATATAATTAACTCCCCCACATTTTTGTCCCATTTGTACGATTTGTGTACTGTAATGACATCGTTTCCTTGAAATCATTCCAATCAAGCTATCTCAAAGTCAGGGAAGTGAATTATGACGCGTATGAAGTCGATCAATAATTGGTGTTAATGGGATCCTTAGCGGTTCGTTAAATCCACCACTTGCTATTGACAATACATATACATTTAATTAAACTATTTGCTTTAATCCACAGTTCTCATCTTGCACAAGAAATATCACCCGGGCCCACAGCGGCACCATCCAGTCAGGAACTGTCTGTAATTGACAAAATTTTCTTTCAAGGAGATGGTCTGCAAAGATAAAGTACCAAATCTATGAAGAGTGGTTTTGATATGTTTTCTCGCCGAGCGCTTCTTTTGGTTTCCTTCACGATAAAGATAAACGAAACTGGAATAAAAGAAGTCTGCCGGGAGTCTTTTCTCCGACCAATCCGCGCTCAACTGGTTATCAACACTTACGTCAACTGCCACGTATTGTGCGCTCCATGCCAGCTATTAAAATAGCACAGAAATTCCCTTGCTTGGTACTATGTGCTTGTGTGTCGATGCAGTAACTGGTAGACTCAACGGCAACATTCACCATGAAGTTCTCCATTTTTCTGGCCTGCCTACTGGCAGTACTGAGTAAGTTCATAGTGATTGTCACTGCGCGTTAGGAACAACATAGCTAGTTAAGCTCTTTAAGAAAATACTGTTGCGGGCATGCTATCAAAGCTACCTTCTGTTTGTTGCCTAACATTTATAAATGCGATGTAAGGAGAATGCATCATGGATGCTGTGGCATAAGGTTCTAGTGATTATAAGTGAGAATTGTGTCCATAGGAATAAGCCTAAATGCTAGCATGGATGGGTCAATGGAAGCATGCTGAAAGGTGATAATTGGGGCTTACTTGGATCCCGTCCGAATTAACAGGCTACGGCTAGGAATATTACACGCGTCTGTGGGAATTGGCTGATGTCACTGGCTCACGACTTCCATACTCGAACGTTAGATTAAGCGTAAAGAATTACAGCTTTAAAGCCTAACCATCTGAAAAATTAATGATTTCTCTCTGCCCCAAAATAACAGAAACAAGGAGAAGCTAAAAGAAGGGGCACTCGTAAATATGACTTCCGTTTAACCTTATTTCAGCGCCAGCTCTCGGTAGACGGATTGTCGGCGGGTCAGAGTCCGTACCGCACAGTCGACCCTACCAGGTGGCTCTCTATGACGACCCCAGTGGTGGCTACCAGTATTGCGGTGGTACCCTTATCCACCAACGATGGGTCGTTTCAGCTGGCCACTGCAAGTTAGTATAACGCATCAGTCATCCCCCTTGGTTTGGGTGTAATCCATAATCCGATCATTCGATCACTTTCGCAAAAAAGGAGAATTCATAACTGCCCTTCTCCATCATACCTGTAGGCCTGCTTAAAGGAAGATGCTTGACGTACCTTTCGCGAAAGTAGAAAATGCCCTGAAAAGTGTACAAGCAAAATGGTAATGTCATAGACAAATTTGGGCAAATACTTTGATAAGCTATTTCAAGGGATGATGCATGGCTGTTATTCAACCTTTTCACACTTCCCGATTACTAAGCAGCAAGCTCTTTGCAAGGAAAGGAAAGTTGTAAATTTTGCAGATTTACGACAAGTTCAATTTAGAGGCCATTTTGGTTATCCAAAACTGCCACATCACCCACAGGCACGCTTCACGGGGTCTGTTTGTTTTACCACAAGCAGAAAAATCTTCGCCCAGTTTTGGTCAGTCATTTTGTTGTTTTAAGAGCAAGACGCGTAACCCATGCAATATTAACTATTTCAGCAACAAATAGCATCATGTACCATATTGCAAGGCAAGCCTGTAATATTCTGACCAAAGCCACCAGATACTTTGCGCTTGTTTTTTATTATGTCTCCGCTGGTAAACAGGACGAGCTCAGATGTCTTCGTAGGTTTGGGTTACCACGATAAGTACAACCACGGTGCGGCCGGCCTGCAGTTAATCAGGGGCACATGGTTTCGCCATCCCTTGTTCCACAGCGGCACCCTCGACAACGACATCGCTTTAATCCAACTAGACAGCCATGCCAACGTCGTCAGCCCTAACATCGCCCCCATTAGGATCGCCAACAAACGGCCTGTTAAGGGAAAGAACCTGCTCGTGAGTGGGTGGGGGACAACATCAAGTAAGTTTGCCTCTAAAATTGAGTGAGTTCGTTCAAGCAGACAACGCATGCTTGGGTCATTTGAGATCATCAGTGCGCACGCGCACATCTGGGTGGTTGCTAGGTACTAACATATTCAAGCTGGCATGAATTCAGAAGCCTTAATCTTGAATGACCTTGATTTTGTGAAATAGCGAACTGGCTGATTGTAACCGCTCTCAACATTAGATTGGTAACATGGTATTAATGTTAAACCTGCGGATGGCTACAAGTTTAGTACCGTCGTCACCCGAGCTTGAAACTTTGGCATTGATTGATAACTGTCCAAACTTACGCAAGACCCTATGGGTACATGCGGTTTAAAAGTCAAATTAAACTAACCAAACAACACAGCAATAATAGTTGGTTGGACGTTTTGTAGGATGGTTCATTTTTGTGGTCTTCAAGTTATTTGGGTGGCCAGTTAAACTGAATGGGTGTGATCGTATTCAGTCCTACGTATTCTCACACGGTGTAACGAGTGTTTATGGATGTGTTTGGATCGGCTGCATTTTAACAAAATTGAGATACTTTTTTAATTCAATGTATTTTAGTGGTAGGGCCAAGCTCAGATACGCTGAGGGAAGTGGTCGTTAAAGTGCAGACCAGAACTGCTTGCAGAGACGCCCATAAACCTGCATTGATCACTGACAACATGTTTTGTGCGGCTGCAAAAGGAAAAGACTCCTGCCAGGTAGGCCATTCCCCGCTGGTGCAGGGTGTGGCAGAGGGACGAGTGATGCCATACATAGTCGTAAATTAGGGGAAGGGGTTCTAGAAGGTTGGCAGGTTGTGCAAATAAAGTTCAATGCCTTTTCTAGGGTACACTGTTACGTGTTCTCTTTTGGAAGAGGTTTTTGCTTTGTGAAGAACCACTGCCTGGTTTTTGAGCTTACTTAACAAAGTCATCGCCACAGTCAATATAAAATGTGCTGAAGGCAACCCTTTTTCTTTCCTCCTCTGATACTGGACATTGTAAACTTAATTCTGCCTGCCATAACTAAGTGATTGACTGGCCAACAAAGCGACCACACTGTATATGTGTGTCAACTTTGAGCAGGCTGCCATCATCTCTTTCCCACATTACTTGTTTCAGCCTGGTTTGAAGCTGATGGTTCTCTGTGGGTCAAATGTTTATCATGGTTTTCCCATGGTTTGGTTTCCCCACACTAGGGTGACGACGGTGGCCCAATTGTCAGCGGCTACGGAGATGGCACTCACGACCCCGGCACCACCCTGGAGGGTATTACCAGCTGGGGTAACGGCTGCGCTGATTCTAGATATCCCAGTGTTTATATTGCCGTTGGCCACTACTGTGATTGGATCGCGCACACTACTGGCGATGCCGTCACGTGTCAAAGTTAGAGACAGACCCGCACGGAGCTGGGGATGTACAGGCCGCTGATTGGCACGACTGGGTTGAAATAAAAACTAATGTAAAGGACAATTATGAAACTAGTAAATAAAAAATTATAGCTACAGGAGAGTACTTTACAAAGTTTACTATTGGTTGCGGTGGTTTCAGAAAACAACAGATGTAAAAGTGCGTCTCAAATAAATGTATAAATGTACAAAAAGATGGATTACAGGACTTTTCTGATTTTTTTCCAACTGCTTTTACACAATCTTCAGCTGAGATCTCTTTCCTGTCTCCAAAGTGTCTTACTTGGACAACCTGGGTTGTCGCTTCAATGACTTCGAGTGATATTATGGACCAGGACCCCAAAACAAACAGAATGCATCAAACGAGTTAAGTTTTCTTCTTCAATCAGTACAAGATATGCCTCCCCATTCACACCCAAATTTCCATTCTGGTGGCAGAAGGTAAAATCTAATGGAAAAGGACAGGAAGGCGGACGATAGAATTACGGCTGGAAACAAAGCAAATGAAATACATTTAAACTAAGCAAACTTTAATACGGCCGTTTCAAAATAGTGCGCCACCAAGAGTTTGCAAGGCGTTGGCCAATCACAATGCGCGAAATTGTTCGACCCAATGCTTGTTTGGAAATTTGGGTCGACAAAATTCGCGCGTTACTGGTCCATCGACACTGTATAAACCATCACGTCTCTACACTCCTTTGGAGAAATCCGAGAGCGTTTTCGAAACGAGTGGATTCGGCTTAGACTTTGGTTTCGCTGTTTCCAGCCATTTTGAAACAGTGTTCGAAGCTACATATTCAAGCTCTGACGGGAACCAGCAAAACCGAAGGTTAAGCCGTATCCACTCTTTTCGAAAACGCTCCATGCTTCACATAAATTCGAAAAATAGTTCGAACTTTGTTACCTTCTTACAGCCAATCCATACACATCGATATCCATAAGCACTAGCTCTTTACACTGAGATTAATGTTGATGAAAAATCCATTTCCCAACTGGTGTTACCTAGCAACCAGTCTAATAACTAAATGGAGACATAACAAGCCAACCAATCAAGATGCCCAACCAGCAATGTTTTTCATGACATTATGGCTCGTAGTTGTATAGACTTCGGTCCCGCGTACGTTTGACGCTGAGACCTAATTACGCAAAAGAATGCTGTGATATGCAGTTTTAAACTAAGCGTAAGTTTATATAAGTTTTAAACTGGTATGACGACAAGAGTGTCTCAATTACCACACCTAAGAAAGAGTTCTGTCCGGGGCACTTTACTCGTCAGATCCCGGCCACGGCACGATTGCATTGAAAGTAGATGGCAAGAACTGATTACGCCTAGCGGTAAAGTGATCCGACTAATTTTATGTCTGATAAGTAGTAAAGAGCCAGTTTGGTATTTCAAAAAGCAAGGTCAATCGAGAACAACTCATCTGATGTCACACCACTTTGAACGTGTTCAGCTGCTGTGGTCTAAGTCGGCGCACAACTTTGCCGCTCTGATAGTAGGATAAACCTTGCGTGCACGTATTGCTGATCACAAATGAACTAAGATGGGCGTGATTTGAGCATGTGCTGTCTGTATACCTAATTCAGTCAGTAATTAAGGCCGTTTGCTTCACGCAGATCTGGACAGTCTGACCATCATCTGACCCGAAGAATTATATAAAGATGGATCAATGCAGTGGAATACATTTCATACTATAGGTTTCTCCTTTACATGTGGCACATATCAGTCTCACCTGCTTGGCACTCCAGTGTTACCGGCCTCCCAGTCTCAGATGCCCCTTGATCAACCTCACACCCATATCGCAAAATCCACGGTGGAGTTCTTGGTAAGATATTTTCACTAGTGGGGCCAGACTAACAAGTACCCGTCGAAAACGATGGAGGGGATGCCAGTAATGGCCAGATTTCTGGGGATGTGATGTTTAGCGGCTAGAGATGGAACTCATGATCATAAGGTCAAGATTTCAAATCAGCAATGGGCATTTACTATATGACCATGTGAAAGTAACTTTAACACATGATTACAGATGGGTACCCTCGGAGCCTTAGAGGGATAGTTATTGCGTTGGTTTATACCGTTTAGCATCTGAAATGGCAATATCGAAATTGCATGTATTCCCAAAGAGCTAAGGTGGTCCTAGGAATGGTCCAGTTCGCGCGGATAATAATGAGCGTCAGTACTGGTGTGTATCTGGACATTAGTTCCTTTTATCCGGGTTTGAATCTTATTAACTTTCACTTGACTTAGGTCCTCCAATGAGGGACCTGAGTCGAGTCATTTGCCCACATTGACTAGAGTCGAATCGAGTCATTTACCCGTTAGGACTCGAGTCGGAAGGAGAAGAGGCCTTGACTCAAGTCTTGCAAATCTAACAGAAAAAGATAGACTTGGGTTATAATATCACTTTCAATGCCTTGCATAGTCCTCAAAACAGTAGGTTTCTAACTTTAATAGTCATAAATCACCGCGTTGTTCGCTAGCTTTCTGTATTATAGTCAAAGGGATGTAAGAGCAATTTTGCTTGAACTTAGATAGTAAGGTCTAACAAACTTTGAAACAGCCGCACTTGTTTTGTGTTACGGACGTTTACTGCAGTGTTCCCCAGTTATCTTCAATTTAATTATGCCCAATATATAAAAAGTTAATAACGTTTTTGGCTGAGTCGGTTAAAAAAAAGGTTGTTTTCTATGTTCTGCAAAACGGAGGCCTTCATTCGCCGGAAACAGTCAAGATAATGGCCCCATTCTATGTCCTCTAGAGCGGTATCTGTTTTTTCAACTGTGTTTGCAGCCGAGGTTCACATGGAATTGGCATCCTGGGGTTGATAATAGCTTTGATACACTAACCTCTAATATCTTGAAACACTTCGATGTAGTGCGTGAAACGTTTTGTATATTTTTATATACACGGTCTTTCAAGGTTCTAACCTTCTGGGTTTTGTCCAAATACATAGCCCGTACCCTAATTTCTCGAAAGGCTATCCTATTTAAATGGTAATCGTAAATTCTTCTGGGAAAAAGTTGATAAGATAAGAATGAAGCTTGGTGGAATGGCTATAGATCCACCTTCTGGTATAGAATCTCGGACTTGAAGTGCCACTTTTCACGAGGTTTCCTGAACTTTCTTATTAATGATGTTAGCTTAATTACAGAAAGGCTATCTATCAAAATCTTGCCCTCTTGATCCCATACCTAAACTTGCAGAGAGGCATGCATATTCTTTTACCTGTGCTCACTAAAATGATTAATTTGGCTTTGCAATTAGGAATTTTCTGATTAGTGGAAAGAAGCCTTGATCTTGCCAGTTTTGAAGAAAACAAATCTTGATTTGGTTTTAATGGTTACAGGCCGGTTAGCAATTTGTCATACATGTCTAAACTTGTTGAGACGGCTATATATGATGATATTCTCTAAAATATGAGTAAACAACCGGTAACATTATTAGTCCTTTTGGATTTAAGTGCAGCGTTTGACACTGAGGATCATGATGTACTTTTAAGGCGCTTAAATTCTTGCCTTTGAGTGTCTGATAACGCATTAGCGTGGTTCTCCTCTTACATGTACTTGTCAGGTCGTTCGTTCAAAATTTTGGTTAGTAATGTCACATCGGACACTTTTAAGTTAAAATGGGGTGTTCCACAATGATCACGTCTTGGTCCTTTATTATTCTCAGTATATTCCAGTGAGCTATTTCACATAGTACTGACCAAGCCAAGACATAACTCCATTATTGTATGATTTACATTGGTTGCCTGTCAAATATCGGATCAAATTCAAAATTCTTTTACAGGAATAAATCATTAAATAAGTTAATGTAATGTAATGTAATATAATTGTATATTTAAGTTAATAGTTATGGTTTGGGGAATTTATTTGAACAAGTTTATATTGTTTACACGTCTGTAATTCTGATGTATATTTTGACGTATGCGCAGTAGTTTTAATGTTTTAAATTGTAAGCGCATTTGATCATATTTTGATGGCAAATGCGCGGTATAAATGTTAAAAATGTTAATATTGATGTTGTCTTACATTATCGAATTCTCCTTTTAAAGGACTTGTATAAGATATAAACTACCTCTGAAAAGTAGTTTTTGTCGATTGCTTGTTTACTTCTAGATAGAGATAAGAGAGGGCGCTGAGAAAAACATCTACTGTCGGAGTCTTGTCTGGCCTGGTTATTGCCGATTACGTCAATTGCCCACATTTTGTACACCTGGTGCAATCTATAAAAGGAGTCAAAATCTTCCATCCCTATACTTCTGGTCTACGTCTCGAGTTAGCGACTAGCAGAATCAACGGCAACATTAACCATGAAATTCTTCATTCTTCTGGCTTGCCAGCTGACTGTACTGAGTAAGTTCATAGTGATTGTCTTCAAGTATTGCACAAAGTAAACGAGAGGAAAATGGCTGTTGCTGTTTCTCTAGAAAATACTGTTGCTGAGAACTGCTATCGTGGCTACCTTCTACTTCTACAATTTCATGGAGAAGATGCAAGCAGAGTGCATACGCAGAAATATTATTGATAGCTTGAGTGGCATGTAATATAGTCGATTCACAATGTGCGTTTGGAACGGATCGACAGATTTCGTACGCTGCGGTTGTCAACGTGTTGCAAATTCTTGGAGGCACACTATTGTGGATCGTGCGTATTGCTTCTTCAGGTTCAAGTTGCTCTAAGCTCTTGTTGTCTGAGAACTGTCTAAGTTTAGTTGGATATGAGTGTGGATGGGTCAGTCATTGGAAGAATGCTGAAATTTGAAAGCTGAGGCTTATTATCATCTTGTCCAAATGAACTGGCTACGGCAAGGAGAATTACACGCATCAGCAGGAGTAATAGGGTTCCACAGTGAATGCTACATTGCCTGTGAGGTGCTGCGGCTAAAGTGACTAGTTCGCGAAATTCATGATTTCTTTTTAATCTTCCCTGAAAGAAATGGCACAACAACGTATAAGAACCTGCCAGCAGCGTCACAAAAAATAAAAACAAAAACAGACTATAGCGCTGTTGTGACTAAGTTTGTTTAAATTGTATTTCAGCTCCGGCTCTCGGCAGACTGATCGTCGGCGGGAAAGAGTCTAAACCAAACAGCCGACCCTACCAGGTGGCCATCTATGATTCGAAAGATGCTGACCATCAGTTTTGCGGTGGTACCCTTGTCCACAAACGATGGGTCGTTTCAGCAGGTCACTGCGCGTAAGTATGGCACATCTTTGTTTTTCCCCCTTGTTTCAAGTGCGACCCTTTGTCATTCATATCATTCACTTTCGTAAAAATGGGCTCACATATGCCTCCCTTCATGTAAAGCGGTGTCAAGTTGTGCTGGAAACTGGGGATTGAGGTATACAAAGGGGTATATCCCTAGGGGGGTGGGGGTATTTATCCCCCCTCCACACACACACCTTTTGACCGGGATGGAATACTGAATCATCTCCCACCATTTGTAATGAGAAAATTTGTGAAAAAAAATTGGCTTTCCCAAAATCAAAATGTATTCCATAGCACTCAACTTTGGAGAGCAATATTTAATTTCTTGGAGAATCTTAACATCATCATCTTAACAGCATATTCGTGGCTTTTTAAATACATATTACAGATGCAGATCACTGTAGGGCAGAGCAGGCTGTAAGCTTGTTAGGGCCGAGAATGAGCCTCAGATACATTTTCCTTTTGGGCCCTGCTTCGCGCCTACATGTTTCAGCATGAGGGAAGCGCCAAATTATGATCGGTCAATACGTCATTTTCGGACCGAGTATTGTAACCGCAAACAAAATCTATCTTGTGTTTACCTAGTTTTCACTTTTATCCTTTGCCCGTTAAACAGGGGTGGCACGGTCTACGTCGGTTTGGGATACCACGATAAGTACGACCACACGCTGTCTGGCCAGCAGTTGATTAAGGGCACATGGTATCGCCATCCAGGTTACACCACCTACTTTGATAATGACATCGCCTTGATCAAACTGAGCAGCGATGCCGACCTCAGCAGCACAAAAATCGAAACCATTTCAATCACCAAGAGCCCACCTTCTGCAGGAAAGAATCTGCTCGTGAGTGGATGGGGAGATCTCCAGAGTAAGGTTACCTTAATGTTGCTTCACGTGGATCTAGATCTATATCTCCATTAATGGGCCCACGTTCCAACGTTGGTTCGCTCACATTGATACCAGTGAATCAGTGACAGATACTCAAGATTTGGACCCTTTTGAAGCAAACAGCCCTTGCGTAAGTTCGGTATGCCGACAGCTGATGCACAAATTGTAGCTCGTCTTGGGTCGTCATAACGAGTCAAAACGTTGTCATTTTGCATCAACTATTTTACATATGGTCCTCAAAGTCGAAACGAACGCAAGAGCTTAATTGCTGGTTAGGCAGGTCGGTCGGTTGGCTTTCAGGGTCGCCCTTTACTTATTTCGCTGATCGATTGCACAATGTAAAGAGTACTTATTTATTGGTTGGGCAGGTTTTGATTGAAGCAATATTTGAATGCATTTTTCATTCAATTGCTTAGGTGGAGGATATTCTTCAAGAGTTCTCAGGGAAGTGGAGGTTCAAGCAGATTCCATGGCAACTTGCAGAAAAGCCTATGGGTCGTCAGCGATCACGGATAACATGTTTTGCGCCTCTGCTTCAGGAAAAGACGCCTGTCAGGTAGGCCATTTCGTTTTGCTGGTGTTTATCTTCGTATATATGGTATACATTTTTGGGGGTCAAAAATGTTGGCATTTCTCGCAAATTCATAATCCGTTTTCTGTGTTACATCGTGACGTCATCTCCTTTAGAAGTTGAGTTGGCTGAGGAGGAGCCGTTGCCTGGTTGGAGACCTCACCCTTTCCTTTAACTTGACTAAGTCGTCTTCAAAGACAATACACATTGTGACAAAGTTAGCCTTTTGTCTCAAGTTCCGCCCCTTGCTGATACATGACATTATAGATCTACTTCTGTCAAGCAAGACTTCGAATTGAAATTCTGCATATTGAACTCGACTGTGTGGGGGCCGCCATCTCTTTTTCAAATAACCTGTTGATGGGTCTCTGTTGACCGAACTCTAATCATTGTTTCCAACGGGTTAGTTTCCTTTTTCCCCATACTAGAATGACAGCGGTGGCCCAATTGTTAGCAACTACGGGGCTAGCAGCCACAATCCTGGCACCACCCTGGAGGGCATTGTCAGCTGGGGTGAGGGCTGCGCTAAACCTGGGTACCCAGGTGTCTACGCTATCGTCAGTAACTACTGTGACTGGATGGCGCAGACTACTGGCGGTGCCGTCAAGTGTTAAAGTAAGAGAGTTCCCTACCGATTGCCGAGGGATGGACACGCCGCTGATTGCTACGAGAGAAAGGGATTTCTGGTGCGCGGTCTCTCGGCATTCGATCACCGTTGTTAACAGCACTGGGATTAATTAAGTATCAGAATAACTCATTGTCAAACTATAAATCAATAGATAAAAATTGTGCCAAAGGAGAGAACTTTGCACAGTTTAATACCAGGGATACTTTTTCTGCTTCCGTACATTTCCAGTTTTAATAAGAAAAGGGTGCGTCAAGTGAATGAAACAATACAAACTGCTCTTGCACAAACTTCTTCTGATGTTTCTCTCCAGCATACAAAGTACTTTTCTCGGACAAACCTGTGTTGTTGCTGTTAACACTTCACATGATTTGATCTTACAGATCGGGATCCAAATTTGGGTATATGCTGTTATAAGTTTTAATTTCGTTAATAAAGTAAACGGCCAGGATACCAAAAGAGGTTGAAGTTGTCCTCATTAACTGATATCAGACCCATATTTCAATCCTGGTGGACACAGAATTTTCAAATATACGATGCCATATTCGCCAACTGGTCGCAAAACTTGCCATACTGAAATAGCCCTTTTGTTTTTTAAGAAAACAACCCATGACGAAGTCAGGGCATGCTCGTCCCAAACCCTTTATTTGCCCCAGCATCTTTGTTTCTGTCAGACTCCAGTTTCAAAAAATCCACATTCAAAACGGATATTGAAATTTCACTTGCCCGAAGGAATTAGATTAATATTGTGGAGGACACAGTGATGAATTCGATGAAGAGAGATGGTTCTGGTGTTACCACGGAATAATTATTCTATTTTCATAATCATTTGTACAATTATAAATTTCAGAGAGTGCTGCCTGTGCAAGCACAACTTGCACCTGCATGTACATTATAACGCAGGCTGCATATGTGAGTCATTGCGCTAGCGTGCGACCTCTGACCCCGACAATACTGCACACGTCTGTTCATGTCTCAGCAAACAGTTAAAATGATTTTGTAACGTCAACCGTCTTTGACCAGATTGGGGGATCGACTTCCGGAAGTTGGAAATGTGTAGGCCTACACTAGAATTTTTGTAGCCTAAGGACTGGGGTCTGTACTCTACAAAAATCACCTCACGGATGCATAAGGTTGGCTTCTAACTTTCTCTTTTATTTCTATGGAAAGAACAAGATAAAATGTTACTTCTTCGAGAACTCTAAGTCACTAACTCCGTGACCCTCCGCTGCACAAGGCCGATTTTTTCATGTTAATGCTCGGACGCTGTCATATGAGTACCAGCCGAATTCACTGCACAGAGCCTACTTTTTACACCCATTGCAACAAGGTGATCGTTTTGAGATCACTTCCGTTATAACCACAAAAATGTGACACCCCCAACACAATGAAACTAATCAGACAGCCGTCTACAGCTCAGAGACACATAAGAGAGACCGACCATTGATATAAGACAGGCCCAGGCTTTCCAAGGCTTTCCAAGGCTTGCCCAGGCACTTTCTTTGTCAATAATCCCTTATCAGCACGTGGTTTAGATATTTACATACAATCCCCATGGGACGTGGCTGGAGGCGGGCTCTGGTGACTAAACTAGGCTGTTCAGCCTCTACAGAGATGCAAATTAACAGGTTTTTGCATTTGGCCGAAATTTTTTTTAATTACGTAATTACAAAAAAGGGGGATAGTCATAGTAGACATTCCGATCTGCGCAAGGTGGTACTCCGTGTGACTTTGAGGAGACAAGGTTTACATGACGTCGTGACGCTATGGGGTTTGGAATCGAATTTTTGTGTTGAATGGTTCGCAGCCGTAAGAAAGCTATTAAATCAAATTTCCCGTCGGCATACCTGCTTGATCTATACCTCCTAAAAGGGGATAACAAAAATTTCAGAGAATGAGATGGAGTATTTTTGAAAAAAGAGAGATTTTCGCTCACCAATTTCTGGCTTTCATTCGTCGACGGTCGCTCCGTTCATGCCGTTCGTGTTTATCAGACTGCGCATGCGTTAAGCCCACCAATGACCAAGCTTGCTCTGCATCTTGGCTCGACCATTTTCGGTGGCGGGGGATAACATCACACACGGCGCAGCACATATCGCGCGTTTCGCCTGATGTGTGGTTCCAGGTCACAGCAGCAGCAAGGAGGGTCCCACGATGAAAACAACACAAGATGTTATCTCTGCCACTGAAAATGATTGAACCAAGATGTCAAAATTCTATCAAAAAGGCTCCGTTCAACTATCAAAAAAACCAAAAAGTACAAAACCACGTTAACATATAATGCTGACGATTCACCAAAAATTGTGCTGAAGTGGTTGTCACAGAATGAGCTTTTTGCAGTGCATTGTGGAAAATGGTCCACAAGTTCTATCTACCGGCTTCACGTCGGAATAAAGTGTATTTCAAGGACTAGCTTTAACTAATAAAATCTTCTTTCAACCTTTTAAAAAAAATGGTTGTTCCCTCAACAAAATGTGTTTTGCTGTTTTTGTAAATTGTCCCTTTGAAATCACCGTATTACCGTCTAAATTCACTACCCTGATTTTAAAATGGCTTAATTGGAATGATTCGAAAGAAGTGATGGCTTAACAGTAAACCAAACGAGCACATGGAATAACTTTTTTGATTTTGGGGGGGAATTGGTTTTTTTTAGGGGGGCAAAACCAAAAGGTTAGAGAGAGGCCTCTTGGATTTGATAAACCTGAACAAGGCCCTATGAGGAGCCCTTAATCAAACTTTATTGATCAACTCGACAGCCCGTCACAATTAACTACCTCGACCTTACTTCGTCTTGTACAGCTTTAGAAATGTATATAATTAAAGACCGAAAAAGCCTTTTACAGAGGCCTACTCTTGTATGTCACAAAAATGTTGAGGCCAAAAGACATCGAAGTCTTTGTCGATTTGAGCACACCCATTCCATGTGAACCGCGGCCACAAACACATATGGGAGAGAGAGATAACTCTCCAGGAGATATAAAACTGGGCCATTATGTCCGAATGAACCCAATAGTAATTTCATTTATCGAATGGGGACAAGAAATAGACTGTTCAACCTAATGTTTTAGCACTTTCCGCGTGCCACGGGACATAATCACCCTCTTTTTCCCCTTAGCTTTTGTCGGNCACAAAGACGTTCATTGGAATCTTCTTGCTGCTGTTGCCATGTTGTGTACGTTCACGGGGGGCACCAATGAAAAGTAAAGTAATGAATGTAAATGAAATAAACTAATATCACCAGGGATGGCCCGCCAACATCGTTTCATTCCACAACTGGAAAAACAATATTCTAACCTGTCTACCTGATACTGAAACAGAAATTCTATGACCTGAATAATGCGCATTCTTTTCTACATAAAAAGTATTACGCTCCGTATGCTGATGTGTGGTGATTTTTAACTGTGTCCATATCTTCATCACGGAATCATTTTCACAGCAAAAAGTCGGAAACTGTCAGTCCCAGCTCAACGTTTACTGGTAGCGCAGCTAGTCAGAAGCTGTATGTGAAACCCATTAAGACAAGCCGGACATGGGACCAGGGACCAGACACGGAAAAATAACAGAATTACTTTCAATATCATGAACACCATTCTTTCTTTAAGACTGCATAATATTACTTGCAATTGAGTCCTGAAATAAAATAGTAAACAAACAGGATTCACTGTGAAACCGTCGCTCTTCCACTCACCTGAAAGAAATCTGGATCTTTGACTGTGTCGTGGCTTGACCTCTTCCGGTCCTCTTCGTCCTGGGTGTGACGATCTTGCGGACGTAGATGCGGGCCCCGCTGTACTCCTGTCGCTCCAGCCTAGCCTGGGTTTGCCTTGTCGTAATTCACTCCATGCAAAACTCTATGCTCTTCAGAAAGTACCAGGCTTTGAGTGAACGTCATTGTTACAGAAATGCAAATGGTTGAATAAATGGACAGTACGCTTGATTGTTTAGTCCATATTCCAGCGCAAGGAAAACAGGGTCAAGAATTCAAATCCAGAAATGGGCATTTACGTTGTGACCTTGTGAAAGTAACTTTAACCAATGATTACAAATGGCTACCCTCGGGGATTTAGATGGATAATTATTGTGTTGGTTACCCGTTTAGCATCTGAAATGGCATTATCGAATTGCATGTATTCCCAGAGAGCTGAGGTGGTTCTATGAATGGTTCCAGTTAGCGCGGATAATAATGAACGTTAGTACTGGTGTGTATCTGGGCTTGATATATCGTCCTTTTATTAACAACACGCAAATTGCCTGTGTGGTCGTGCCAAATGTGACCCTTGGTGCACGATAATAACATATAACACGAAAATTAAAAAACCGGGACTGAAGGCCATTGCGAGTATTTTTCATAAAGAAGTTAGTTCCTATTATCCGCGTTTGAATCATACGAACTTCCACTTGAGTTGGGTCGTCCAACGAGGGACCTGAGTCGAGTAATTTGCCCACACTGGCTAAAGTCGAGTCGAGTTATTAACCCGTTTCGAGTCGAGTCATTTACCCGTTAGGACTCAAGTCGGACTCGAGAACAGGCCTTGACTCGAGTCATTACAACTCTAACATAAAAAAGATAGACCCAGGTAATAATATCGCTTCAAGGGCCAAGCATAGTCATCAAATTGTAAGTTTCTAACTTTGATAGTCATAAATCACCGTGTTGTTGCTGTTAGCTTTCTGTATCATTGTCAAAGGGGTGGTCGGCTGTAATTGCAACTTTGCTGGAAACTAGATAACAAAGCCTAACAGACTTTGAAACAGTCACATTTGTTTTGTGTTAGGGACGTTCACTGCAGTGTTCCCCAGTTATCTTCAATTTAATCATGCCCACTGAAAGTTAATACAGTTTTTTGGCTGAGTTGGTTAGAAAAAAAGGTGCTGTTTCCCATGTTCTGCAAAACAGAAGCCTTCGCTTGCCGCAAACACTCCAGATAATGGCCTAGTTCTCTATTTTCTAGAGCGGTATCTGTTTTGTTCATCTGTGTTTGCAGCCGAGGTTCACATGGAATTGGCATCCTGGGATTGATAATAGGTTTGACACACTAACCTCTAATATCTGGCAACACTTCGATGTAGTGTGTGAAAGGTTTCGTATGACTTTAATTATACACGGTCTTTAGGCTCTAACCTTCTAGGTTTTGTCCTACAAAGCAGGTATACCTTAATTTCTGGAAAGGCTATCCTATTTCCCCGTTTGGTGCACTGTATATGGCCGCATGTCCTTGAAATCATGCTAATCAAGCCATTTTAAAATCAGAGTAGTGAATTATGAAGGGTATTAAGTCGATTGGTAATTTGTGTATGAGGGGTCTTCATAGGGCCCTGCTTAGGTTCCTGAAATCCACCACTTGCTGTTGAATTTTACTTTTACTGTTTGCTTTGACATCAGCACTGCACAGGATATAGCTAGGATTTGTCTTACATTGTCGAACTCTCCTTTAAGTGACATGAGTAAGAAAAGGTACCTCTTTAAAGTAGTTTCACAATTTTTCGATCGCTTGTTTACTTTCGATAGAGATAAAAGAACGCGCTGAGAAAAACATCTACTGTCGGAGTCTTGTCTGGCCTGGTTATTGCCGATTACGTCAATTGCCCACATTTTGTACACCTGGTCCAATCTATAAAAGGCGTCAAAATCTTCCATCCCAGTACTTCTGGTCTACGTCTCGTGGTAGCGACTAGCAGGCTCGACGGCAAAATTCACCATGAATTTCTTCATTCTTCTGGCTTGCCTGCTGACTGTACTGAGTAAGTTCATAGAGACTGCCTTCAAGTATTGTGCAAATCAGGCGATAGGAAAATTGCTAGTTATTCTTAGAAAATATAATACTAAGTCAAGGTCATCTGTGGCATACTTTAAGATCAACTATAAAACACACCTAGTCTCTGATTATCTGAAGTAGGTCCTTCTCTTCCATCATTCTAATCTTCCTTTTGTTCTTCTAACGTTTCTAGTGTTTTATAATTCCAATTTTTGTTACATCTCAGTCTGTTGGTTCGTCTTTGTTTTGTTTTGTTTTGTTTTGTTTTGGTCCTTGTTTTTTTTTACTGTATTGTACTGCATTTGTCTTTTTTTTCATGTATAATCTGTTGTCAGTCTTCCTTGTCTGGTTCTTTTTGTTGTCCTTTTAGGCATTTCTGTATAAGACTTTGTCTTCTGAGTATGCCTCCGTATTTGCCCCCTTTTATGTCAGTGTCTCATGGTCTTATTTGTCTATCACTCTTACAGTAAAAATCTTTCCTTTATTGACCTTGTGTATATACGTTGCGATTCAGAAATAAATGTTAAGTAAAAAAAAAGTGGTTGCAGATGACTGCTATCGTGGCCATGTTCTGCGTAGCCCAATTTCATTGAGTAGATGCAAGCGGAATGCATACGCAGAAATATTATTGATAGTGCGCCTCCAGGAGTTTGCAACGCATTGACCAATCACAGTGCTCGAAATCTGTTGACCCAATGGGCGTTTGGAAAGGGTCGACCGATTTTGCGGTATGTCATTGGTCAACGTGTTGCAAGCTCTTAGAAGTACACCATTGTGAATCGAACGTAACTTCAGGGTCAAGTTGCTCTAAGCTGTTGTAGTCTGACAGGTTATAACTGTCTAAGTTTAGATGGATATGAGCGTGGATGGCTCAGTCATTGGAAGTATGCCGCAGTGTCAAAGTTGAGGCTTATTCGTGTTTGTCCAAATGAACTGGCTACGGCTAGGAATACGTCTGTGGAAAGTGGCAGCAATTGGGTTCCATAGTGAATGTTATATTGCCTGTGAAGTACTACAGCTACAGAAAGTAATCAGTATTCAAAATTCTTCAATCTTCCTGCCCACAATTTCACAACAAAATATAAGAACTCCCAACACCACCATGAAAAAACAAAAACTAAAAAGAAGTATTGCTGTTGTGACAAAGTTCTGTTCAAACCGTATTTCAGCTCCAGCTCTCAGCAAACTGATCGTCGGCGGGAAAGAGTCTAAACCAAACAGCCGACCCTACCAGGTGGCCCTCTATGATTCGAAAAGTGCTAACTGGCAGTTTTGCGGTGGTACCCTTGTCAACGAACGATGGGTCGTTTCAGCAGGTCACTGCGCGTAAGTCTGGCACATCTGTGTTTTCTTCCCCTTGTTTCAAGTGCAAAAGCGTTCATTAACCTTCGCAAAGATGGCTAACACATGCCTCCCTTCATGTTAAGCGGCGTCAATTTCTGCGGGAAACTGGGGATTGTGGATACATAGGCGTGAATCCCTGAGGATTGGGGTAATTATCCCCGCAACACACATCACACTTTTTGACCGGGGGATGGACTACTGAATCCCCCACCTTTTGTGATTAGAAAATGAAATTGAGGCGGATTTGGAGAACTGTTTGCTGTTCTGATGTAAGATTCGGCAAGAGAGTGATACACATTACAGATGCAGATCTGTAATGTGAATATTGCCCTATAGTATCCTAATATGGTGTCAGCACCCCCCCTTTATAAATTTCCAAGTCTCTGTTCCCCCCCCCCAATTTTCCCCAATTCGAGGCATAAGTTTACGCCATTTGGGGATAGGGCATTTGAGATTGTGGGGGAAATGACTTATCCGACCATGGTAATTTGAAGAGGAAGGTACTGAAACCATATGACTCTAGGGGGCGATGTTTATCATACATCTGGAAAATGTATTACGCTCCTTTTAACCCTTACATCAATTTGTGACTTTTTAATATTGTTCCCCTTGTTGGGTGCTATTAAATACGTTTTGGTCGTTGAGAGGTCCAAACAATTCTTCACAATCCTCCCTTTCTCATACCGCTGATAACGTGTGTGTGGCTGTGCAGGCATGGCATACATAGTGTGGACCTCTGCACAAAAGAAATCCGCATAATGTAGGGTGCGATGGCGTTGTGTGGACTCGCACACGTCCACACAATGTTCCCCCCTCTCTGAAACAGTTTCAGAGGCAATTTGGGGTCAAGGATATCCGTGGCAAAATGAAGAGGAACAGTCCAGGAAATCATCAACAGAAGTCCAGCTCGAAGGAGTTATCCTAGTTGGAGAAAAAGGAGCATTTTCGTCAGGTTTCCTTAACCACAGGAGAACAAAGTAATGCTCACACTTTGTATGTAAAACAGGTATGGGTGTGTTTCGGGGGGTTATTCAATAGCCAATTCCCGTGGCAAAAAGTGGGGGTTAGGACGCCCTTTCCCCTTCATCAAGTTTCATTAGGCCGGTTAGAGGTAGATTTTGGCGAAAGTAAAGTTGTCCGTGAAAATTGCACCGGCTAAACAGTACATGTAACTTTTAAGGATTGGGGCAGGACGTTTACACGACGATATCTAGGCATTGGGCGTGATTAATTTTGCTAACTCTCTTTACATCTGCTCAATTTCGCGGCAGGCCACTGTAGGGCAGAGCAGGCTGTAAGCTTGTTAAGGCCGAGATGAGCCTCAGATACATTTTCCTTTTGGACCTTGCCTCGCGCCTACATGTTTCAGCATGAGGGAAGCGCCAAATTATGATCGGTCAATATGTCATTTTCGGGCCGAGTATTGTAACCGCAAACAAAATCTATCTTGTGTTTACCGAGTTTTCACTTTTATCCTTTGCCCGGTAAACAGGGGTGGCACGGTCTACGTCGGTTTGGGATACCACGATAAGTACGACAACACGCAGACTGGCCAGCAGTTGATTAAGGGCACATGGTATCGCCATCCAGGTTACAACAGCTACCTTGATAATGACATCTCCTTGATCAAACTGAGCAGCGATGCCGACCTCAGCAGCCCAAAAATCGAAACCATTTCAATCACCAAGAGCCCACCTGCTGCAGGAAAGAATCTGCTCGTGAGCGGATGGGGAGCACTCCAAAGTAAGGTTATCTTAATGTTGTTTCACATGGATCAAGATCTCCATAAATGGTCCGAGTACCAACGTTGGTTCGCACGCATTGGTGTCAGTGAATCAGTGATTACTCATTTAGATTTGGATCCTTTTGAAGCAAACATCCCTTGGGTAAGTTCGGCATGCAGAAAGCTCATGCCCAAAAATGTAGCTCGTCTTGGGTCGACATAACGAGTTAAAACTTTGTCATTTCGCGTCACCTGTTTTGCACATTTTCTTCAAGGTCGAAACGTACGTATGCAAGGCCCTAAATAAATGGCTGGTTGGGCAGGTTGCTCAGTTGGCTTTCTGGATCGCCCTTTACTTATTTCACTGATCGATTGCCCTGGTGTAGCATTTTTCAATCCCCGTTGTTCTTACCCATTGTAAGGATTACTTAGACTGCATCCCAATCTGTTCCCTAGAGCTAGGTCTAGATCTTCACTCCATTGGAAATACGCGGAGACCCACCGACAATAGATGAAGCCATAGATCTGGAAGCCCGTTTCGGACACGGCTTTATTGTATGGACCAGTTTGATTATTAAAGCAAAGTTTGAAGGCTTCTTTGATTTGACTGCTCAGGTGGAGGATATTCTTCAAGAAATCTGATGGAAGTGGCGGTTCAAGCAGATTCCATGGCGACTTGCAGAAACGCCTACGGGTCGTCAGCGATCACGGATAACATGTTTTGCGCCTCCGCTTCAGGAAAAGACGCCTGTCAGGTAGGCCATTTCATTTTGCTGGTATATATCGCCGTATATATTGCATGAGCAGAATAAACTGAGGGGGGTCGAAAATGTTGGCAATTCACGCCAATACTCTATGCACGATCCCTTTTCTCTGTTACATCGTGACGTCATCTCCTTTAGAAGTTGAGTTGGCTGAGGAGGAGCCGTTGCCTGGTTGGAGACCTCTTTCTTCCCTTTAACTTGACTAAGTCGTCTTCAAAGACAATACACATTGTGATAAAGTTAGCCTTTTGTCTTTCTGCCCCTTGACGTGTTTGGTCAATAGAGACCCGTCGGCCTCAACGATGAAGCAGGTTATTTGAGGAAGCGATGGCGCCCCCTGGCTCAAAGTTGATAGGCCTATAGTGGAGTTCAATATGCAGAAGGTCAATTCGAAGTCTTGCTTGACTGAAGTAGATCTACAATGTCATGTATCAGCAAGGGGCGGAAAGACAAAAGGCTAACTTTGTCACAATGTGTATTGTCTTTGAAGACGATTTAGTCAAGTTAAAAGAAAGAAAGAGGTCTAAAAAAGGCATGATAAGTACTGATCATGGTTTCTACCGGCTTGGTTTCCCCTTTCCCCACGCTAGGGAGACAGCGGTGGCCCGATTGTCAGTAACTACGGGGCTAGCAGCCACAAACCTGGCACCATCCTGGAGGGCATTGTCAGCTGGGGTTACGGCTGCGCTTATCCTGGGTACCCAGGCGTCTACACTACCGTCGGTAACTACTGTGACTGGATGGCGCAGACAAGTGGTGGTGATATCTCCTGTTAAAACTAGTGAGTTCCCTACCGATTGCCGAAGGATGTTCCCGCGACAGATTGGTACGAGTGAAAGGGAATTCTGGTGCGCGGTCTCTCGGCATTCGGTCACCGTTGTTACAGCACTGGGATTAATTAAGTATCTGAATAACTCATTGTCAAACTAATTATGAAATCAATAGATAAAAATCATGCTCAATTCAGGAACTTCGCACAGTTAAATACCAGAGATATGTTTTGCTTCCGTACATTTCCAGTTTAAGAAAAGGGTGCGTGAAGTGAACGAAACAGTACAAATTGCTCTTGCACAAACTTCTTCTGATGTTTCTCTCCAGCATCCGAAGTGCCTTTCTCGGACAAACCTGTGTTGTTGCTATTAACACTTCACATGATTTGGTGTTCAGATCGGGTTCCAATCCCTGGTGCATGATGAATTAAAGTTTTCATTTGATTAATAAATCAAACGGCAAGCATACCAAAAGAGGTTGAAGTTGTCCTCATTACCTGATATTGCAGTCAGTACAAGACTGTTTCCCCTCAACCCCCCCCCCAATCAGACCCATATTCCAATCCTGGTGGACTCAGACTATTTAGATATACAATTCCATATTCGCCAATTGGTGCAACACTTGCCTCTGGGAAGTCAGAGGACACACTGAAATAGCACCTTTTTTAAAAGAGACACCTAAACCCCTGGCCAAGTAAGGGGATGCTCGTGCCAAACCCCGTATTTGCAAACGATTCACATTCAACACGGATATCGCAGCTTCAGTTTGCCGAAGGAACTAAAATGATATTGTAGAAGACTGTAGAATTCGATGAAGAGAGATGGTTCTAGTGTTAATGTTGACACAGAATAATTTATTTCATTTTCATGTAGATATTAATAAATGGAAAAAGCCACTAACATAGAGCTGGATAGCTCAGTTGGTATAGCACTGGTATGGTGTTCTAAGGGTCGCAGGTTCAAATCCCGCTGCAGTCGATTTCTTTGTCCATCTTTATAATCACTTTCATAATCAATTGTACATTATAAAAATTTCAGAGAGTGCTCCCTGTGCAAGAATAACTTGCACCTGCACGTAAATTATAATGCATGCTGCACATGTAAGTCATTGCGCTAGCGTGCAACCTCTGACCCCGACAAAACTGTTTACATTTGCCGTCTCAAAAAACAAGCAAAATGACACAAAAGAAATAACTTTTCATACCAGCCAGTGCCAAAAGGCCTCCCGGATGTTTCTCCTTCTTAAACGGTTCTCTCCTTACTCCGGTCTCTCGGGTAAACAAACAATATACAGCGGCACTGATTTGTATGGTCAGCTACCAACTTGGGGCTCGGCAATGTGTCTTAGAGAAAACCCCAGGAAACCCTTTCACAATACCCTTTGTTTACTATTAGGCTGCATATAATTTATGATAAAACTCAATGGTAAAATTCTTGAGCTCCATCTATATCTTATCAGGAGTTTGCCCTTTTAAATACTAAACATCCAATAATTAGGGCCCAATAAATATAATTTGCCACGTAAACCGTACTTATTATTTTAATACTTATACATGAACTATTTCTTCAGATCGATAGCACCCAACTCAGCAGAAACAACACCATTAAAATAAAATGGCACCCCAAATGGACCGATGCGCACAGAATAATTTTTGTTATCAGGATACTTCGTAAATAATAAAAAAAAAATCTTGACCATACAAAATCATCGGGAGTTCAAAAGGTATGCTCACAAACAGCCTAAAAACTGGGTTTTCAGGAGCGTTCGAATAGAATTATAAGTTGTACTGGGTGGGCTTTGGATAACTTACGCTCAGAAGATCGTATAATCATAAGCTTTGTACTTTGGCCCCTCTTTGGCATGGTACCCCAAACCAAATTGTCGTGGCGGGGGCCTCAGTTGCTAGGAAAATTGCGCCCTCTCTTGTTTCCTCTCGGAGCAGATACAAGGCACTGAGATGAGCCGATTTCTTCAGGAGGCAAGGCGTTATAGTTGAGTTCGAGTGGCACTGGTTTCTTGTTCTCGCGCTCGAACGGTGGGAACACGACCCAAGAATATTGATCTTAGAACGGGATCACATACCATCTCCTCTTCAGGGTTTTACAGGAGCACAAGGAAAAACTCGCGAGATTTCGATTTTGAAGCGTCACAAACGCCGAAGACAACGGGAAATTTGCAAAATTAACATTAATGATTTTCCAAAACACACAAATGAATGCTCCTTTTTGAATAGAAGAGAACTCAGCCTAGAAATCAAACATAAGTCCTCGAAGAGCGTATGTGTATGCTGCTATAAATATGACTGGTTGTAAGTTCGCCGCGCTCGAGCGGCCGACAAATACACGAACAACAAACCGAGCTGTTTGTGAATATGCGAGAACAAACCGCTCGAACTCAGCCCGTATCTTCGGTGAGGTTCTTGCTTCTAGGGATCGGCTGTGAGAAGGGATCGACGAGATGGTCAAAAGAGGACCTTCCCTCAGACTCGGGTCTACATCAAGACAGCTTAGGCAGACATGAGAGAGCAGCATTCCCGTAGAAAATGAAAGAGCGGGAAAAACAATTGGCCGGTACCAATAAATGGTTGCATCTGATTCAACCCAGTTGGATCCTCCTTCCAAATTGGTTCTCTTTCCTCAGCGACAGATCCCCCTTTATGTTCCAGAAATCGGAAATGATAAGGATTTGAAACAGATTCGGAAACGCAGGTAGACAAAGTCGCTCGCAATTCCATTAAGCGCACGGCCTTTGTTCAGGGCCTTTCAAGGTAGTAGGTACATAAAAAGCCACTTATACTTGAAACGACCCCCTTGCTTTATTTCTCGAACTCGTAAGCTTATTCGGAACATCTCATCTCTTGAGGGTGCTATTACATGGGATGTGTCGTCAGACGTCCCGTTTGCGCTGATATGAAACGAATAATAATGTAGGGAACCGTAGCTGATTAAGGACGCCCTCATCCTTCCAATACGCGTCACAGAGGTAATTAAAGTTTATACTTTTAAGGCTTCCCGGGTACGCGGTGTGAAGGTTATCTCTTTGCTTTTGGGATCTTGAATGTAGAACCGTACTCTCTGCATTTTGTTTCTATTAATTTGTAGGGAGCATGGCTTCGGCCATGCCCCTAAGTGTGGGAGAGTGTCATTGCTGGAAACCCCTAGTAAGTACTTATCATTGAATAAATATTTCACACGATCTTCTGTCGGAGAAATTGTACAATTTACGGGGCCCAATGTGATAACTGCTTTCTGTATAGCAACGTGCCACAGCAAATTTCGCTCCAGTTGGAATGGGTTCAACTTTTTCTAAGTCCTCACCGCACGACTTGTTGAACAGACGTCAAAAACTCGTGTTTCGCGTCAAGTATTTCCGGTCTTTAGATGCAGGGTTCGTCCCATAGACTGACATTTAGGACAAACTGAAAAACTGAAATAGGAGCTCATAAACGGTGGTTTGTTTATTGGAGGTGGGCGAAGCTTGGACACCTCCAGTGTCTGAAGCATGTGGCGAAGATAAAAAACGGTAGGCTTTTACAGCTCTGGAAAGGATAGTTGCCGTGTTTTGTTTTATGTTATTGCTAGTGAGGTTTCTTTTCTCAGGCCTAGGGAATTGGGACTGGAACTATAACCATTCTGAAAGCGATAAAGGGTATAGTAAAAGCCGTGCCCCACTTTGAAATTAGTATGAGTTCTAGATGGTAATCTATACGCAAGCACATTAGCGTTCAGAGGCCCGTCCTCTATCAGTGCGCGCTTGATTTCATTATGAGGGCGACGCGCCGTTTATTTCATAAACTTTAGGCTTGCCCAGAAACCAAAACTTAGCGGTATACCACTGGAAGTCACCACTGCTCCTGGAATATAGAGGGCCACCTGGTAGGGTCTGCTGTTTGGTTTGGACTGTCTCCCGTTGACAATCAGTCTACCGAGAGCGGGCGCTTTTTTGAGGTCAAAAAGAATTCATAACAGCGATTGTCTTACTTCTCATTATTTTTGCTAAGAGTGTAACGCGGCAGAGGGCGCTGGGCACGGGCGCGGGATAAGATTATAGATGGCGTTCTACACGGTAACAGAGGGCAGATGTACTGTATACTTGCGTGTAGACGTGTGTTGAGCAGGCACGACGCTTACGCTCCGCCTTGCACGTAGGTATGATCACATGTTGTGTGCGCGCGGAGGCATAGTCAAGGCAGCGGCCGGCTCGCGAGGCTATTTAAGGCGCGAAAGGACTGTGTTTATGTTAGAGGAGAACCTTACATTTTCGATCCTGCTATAACGAACCCAAAACTGTGGGTCAGGCAGAGTAAGTAACTGAGTGGGCGTGTGGTTGACGCCTTTGTACGTTGGTGTGAGGGTCGTTAGCGTGGCTAGTTCCTCGTCCCGAGTGGTACGTGTGTCGTTGAGGGCCGTGGTAGGTTGAGGGGCTATTTGATGGTGTGGTAAGAGTTCCTTGTGGGAGCTTACAGGGTCTGATTAAAGGGGGATCGCTATGAGTGAGTGGCGTAACCCTAATAGACCTATTGACTTATTCAGGTCCCGGTGGCTCTAAATGCACACAAGTAATTGTTGGGCTCACTGCTGCGGGCAAAGTCCAGTCACACAGTCCTACCATTAAGAGCGCCCTCTCCTGGTGTATTAGACGTGTGATGAATAAACCAGCTACCATTTTGTTGTACATAACTCAGGCATCCAAGCAGTCGTTATTTCGAATCACAGGCTCTCTTATTTTCCGACCCCCGTATTGTTTTGGTTACGTCACTTGGCACCAGCCAATTACGTCAGACCTTCCGGCGCCCAACACCCCAGTCAAAGGAGTTTTTCAAACCGGAACGGTATACTTCCATCCCAACGGACTCGTCTCTAGCCGTTCAGAGACCTTCCATTCCTTGCTTTCCGCCGTCACGCCTGAGGTGAAGGGCACCCCCGCCTTCGACGGAGGGGCGTGGCGTCAAAATAGTTATTTGACTAACTAAAGCTGCAAATACTTTTCACGTTATCTAACGTTCGCCTATGCATAACCGCTGGCCATAGACGCATGTAATATTCCTAGCCGTAGACATTTAATTTAATTTTTGTTTTTTGTGCTTTTCTTCTCAGTTTTTTTTGTACATGGTCCCTTTCAAACCAGCGTATAACTGAAAGGTCCACATGTGAACCCAAAAAAATCGACGAGAAAACAATATCAAAATTTATTTTAGTAGGTGACTTATTTTACTAAACCCTGCATCTCCTTGAGAGGGGAATTCTATAATGTAATACAAATCCTACCTACACAGTATAGCTTTGAGCTGGTATTTTCTGGGTGTGATACATGGGAACTTTTGGTAACAGCATGCTGTACAGGTGGTGGAATTCATGAACCCCGTGCAGGGCCCTGTGAGGCTCCCAAAAACACAAGTTACTTATACTTGTCACAATCCACTACCCTGATAAATATAGCTTGAACGGAATCATTTCAGGTCCGATTTATACGAAACAGGGAAATAGGATATATCCTATTGAAAGTTTTTAGAGGATGGGCTATGTATTTACATATAAACTAAAAGGTAAGAGCCTTGAAAAGAAAGCCTTTAACACAGACCCTACTCTTGCGTGTTACACCAAATAATCGGGAAAAAATATCAAACCTTTATCAATCTAAACAGAAGTATTCGTGTGAACTTCCGCTACAAGCACAGATGAGCAAAGAAATACCTATCTGGAGATACAAAAAAAGGTCATTCTGCCAGGCCACCCACTATATGAATTTAATTTATGGAAGGGCGAAGTTAACATTATTTGCAAAACACAAGTTCAGACTGGAACACGGAAGTATGAGTCAGACAGCAAAGGTTTCAGTCAAATTAAGAAAACTTCCAATGCACACTGCAATTACTTGATAACACAGCATTTTAACAGCATTAAAATAAATTGAATTTCGGGAAATAAAAAACTTAATCGAATAAACCAGCAGGTCTAGAAATTTCGTTATTGAAAACTAAAACACCTGCTGTATACGACTTAACACACGTTACATATCTACAAACCTGACTTTGAATAGTCAAGGCTCCCAGATCGAGAAAATATATAAGTTTCTCTTTTTATTCACAAAAGATGAAACTAATATACCAATCAGAGTTTGTCTGGTCAGACATGTACGATATTGATAAATGAATGCGTTCGAGGCCGCAGTGCCGGGCCTAGTTGCTTCTGGAATTGGGGCATTATTTCTGTTCTGGAATATATTTCTCTGAGGATGCCAAGTTTCACCTCTTTTAATTAAAGCTCGCGTTGAAATGCCTGAAGTTCAGTAAGATTGTGGATTTTGAAGCCAATACCGACTCAAATTTGTAGATCTCGTCGCCAGGGGTTGCAGGCCATCCTTGAGAATCGTCATCATCGCCTGGTCCCAACAACAACTTAAAGCTTTGGCTGCCC